CTTAGACATTTTTCTCTTTTCCGTGCTAGGGGAGCAGAGGGGCTTCTGCCCCAGTGCTAGCTGAGCATCTGGCTTAGCGCAGCATGTGCTGTTCCTGTGTGGGTGGCAGGCACTGTGCAAGTACACTTGCACATCACTTGGACGAACAAGTGTCCCAGAGCCTTTCCTCCTCAAATGTCAATGTTTCTTCCATAGGGGAACCTGGTCACAAAGGAAACCAATGGTATAAATGTTAAAGGCTGTTCTTCCACAAAAATTCGTCCCCTTAGAAGAGGCAACAATACCTGCAACGTTTATACAAAATACATTTATATATTGAAATGTGAAAAATGTTACATCCCTGCTGATTTTAAAATGGTAACCCATGGGGAGTCACAAAGCTTTTGATTTTCTAAGTGAGATCATAATTTAGAACCAGGTTGAAAGGAAAGAGTATGAGCTGAATTGAGTTGCTTTCTGAATTGCTAAAGAAGGGTCCAGACTGAATCTTCAGGTTGGTGCATGTTCCTAGCTAATATCAGATCTGACTCCATATTGACACAATTGCACTGGTGGAGTGCACAGTGTATATCCACCCAGCAGGCAGTGGTTCTGCACAAAATAGACAGTCACTTTGGTGCACAATTGATGTTACATAAAGCAGTCTGCAGAATGGAAGCCAGGTAGGTTCCATCTTTAACACCACATGACCTCCCCTGAATAAGTATAGCTAAGGTAAAACAAGTTTGTTTCTGTTCTTCACAACTGCTAATTGCTACTTGCTGAAGCCCAAGATTATATTTTTTGAAAACTAAACACAAAACAGTTTAGTTTTCCTACAAAAGTTAGGGGGCGGGGAAAGAAAATGGAAAAGAGACAAAGAAGGGCAAGGGGGTGGCAGTTCTTTAGATCTCTGGCCTCCAGCTGCAGAGAAGACGATAGAAATGGTGCAGTGTAGGAATGTTCCATGCAGGTAAAAGTCTTATCCAAGTGAAGGGTAGATGACAAAAACATAAGCATAACACTTGTGTTTGGAATTCCTTATAAAGATTTTAATTTCAGCTAGGTAGTTGCTTCTAATGTTCTGCACTTCTTTTCAAATGGAAAAAGTTAAATTTTGGAACATATTTAGTATGAAAAGAAACAAGGAAAGGAATAGTTTGTATTTCATATTTTGTAACTTGTATATTGTAATGCAGTATGCACACATTATGTAAGAAAATCATTTTAAAATACTTGAGCTTTTCTTGTTTATATCCTTGCTGTACCCAGAGGTTAGTAATGACCAAATAAACAAAGGAAATAAGTTACTTTTTTTTTTTTTTTTTTTGGCATAGGGAGGAAACATCAAGCTCATATTCAACCGGATGAAACCTTCAAGTGGCTAGGTTTATTTTTAACTCTAGAATTAGCTTTTTGGCCATATTTTCACAGCTCCGCTGCTAGATGTCACTTCAAAGTCAGGCATCCACAGTGACAATTTTTATGTAAAAGAAAGATAAACACACATGGAGTAGCATTAAAAATCATGCTTTTTCAGTGTATGGCAGATGCACAATGTCAGGGCATACCAGCTTGTTTGCTGTATCTGCAAAAGATTGTTGCATAGCTTTCCCTCCATACCAGTTCAGTCAGTGTTGCTGCTGCTAAAATGCAGCCAGAAGCAGTTCATGTTTGTTGCATGCTAATTTAAGCTGTTCACGGCCGTATTCCTCAGCTCAGGTTGCAGGTGCAGCAGGAAAGGTGATCATGGGCTGAAGTGATATTCATCTGTGAGCTGCATCTTTTGGTGGCTACATTCAGCTAGCAAATTTGTCCAACCTGCCCACCACCCTTTCCTTTTTTTGATAAATACCTTCCAGTGACTGTGTTTTATATTTTCTAGTATCCAAGTACTTTGGAGATGCAGTTTGTAGGAAATCAGCGATCGGAGAATATCAGGTTGCCCATGTTTGGAGGAGGAAACAGGAATCAGTATGCACTGGTCTTAGAAAATTTGCTATGCACTGTGAATATGATTGACTGCTTTCCATGGGGAGTGGCATGCTTGGCAGGCTTCACTGCTGACCTGCTTCACCCTCAGCTCCAAATGTTTGCACAAATAAACTGATGGCCTTTCAAGCTGCAGTACTGGTGTGTTCTGATTTACTGGAGGAAGCAACAATGGAGGCAGGCGTGGAAGCCTGCAAAAATAGCTAGCTTAATAATTAACTCCACTTATTGTGAGCATTGTTGTTTAAGGGTTGCCTTTTCAAAGGTAAGAAATACAGTGGTAGAAAATGTCTGTTTAGAAATGGTTAATTCTGATCAAAATGAAGACAGCTTGTGGATAAATACTTTCTGTAAAGCATTTATGGAAGGAAGTAAAATATTTGTTACCAACATAAGACTGTTTTTCAACAGAAATGAAGATTCTACAAGTTTTTCAAATCCAGCAACAATATTTTGTTGCTAGCAAAAATAGTCCCCTCCTCTGCTTGGCTGAAACATTGTTTAAACTACTGTGTGAGTTGTAGACGTGTCACATCCAATGTACAACTTGATGTTTGTGAATGAGAAAAATGTCTCCTCCACCAGTATATTTTGTGAAACTTTTAAACACTGTTATCTTTGTAATGTATCTAAACGTTGAGAATGAATGCTATTTTGCCAGTGCTTAAATTTGTGCATTGTTGGGAGGGCTGTTTACACACACACACACAATCGGGGGAGAGAGGGAGGAAGCCTGCAGTCTTAAAGGGTGGCAAAGAAATGCATTAAATAAATACATTCCTTGGAATATCTACAGTAGTCTCATCCCATTCCAGTATTTATTACACCTCCTCTGCCCCTTAGTTGTGTGAACCTTCAGTGTGCTCCAACTGCCTGGGCTTCTTGTCTGGTCATAAAAGGTGGCAAGAAACTACCTGGGCCTGCTGCCTGCCTTGTGCAGAAAGGGTGCTTTGTGTCCAGTTGATGAGGATGAATAATATTGCCATGTGCTGGAGAACACTGATTTGCACTAACATAGTGCTCTGTGTGCGTGCATGCGTGCATGCGTGCATGTGTGTATGTGGGGGTGTCATCTGTAAAGGAATTAGGTGTTAATTCCCCAGAGAAACCTTTCCTTCTTGATGCAGCCCCATACCACTACTGAGGATGCCAGAGGTGGCCACAGTCCTGAACAGAATGTGCTTTGTTGCTCTCCCTGCTTTGTACACCCACTCACTCCAAAGCTGCTTTGGAAATAATCGAGAGTAAAGGATCAACTTGCTGGATGACCAGACCAGAAATATTAATCTTGAAGTATTAATCATTGGAATGATGGTGGCACAATCATGATATCAGATCTTTCTGCAGCGCTTATGGCCCCCAAATAAGGCATTCTGCACTCTTCCGCCATATTAACATAGGAGGCTGTGGCAATAGCCAGGAGGGCTTGAGCTAAACAGGACCCCGCTGAGGGTGTGTGTTACATTCAAGGAAAGCAGGATCCCTTGAACCCATTTCTTCTGCTTTCCAGTTTTCCAGGTAATTCTTCAGTTGTACTATTCTGCAATAATGGAATATATACCTGCATGATATATATTACTCTTAACTCATAGATGCTTCAATATTGTGCAAACAGCATGATTACAAGAATTCTCTTTTTAAAAAAATATAAACACCTGTTTCAACATTATTAGATAAACTAGAATTCCAATCCAAATCTCCTTATACTTATCCTGTATAACTTCCTTAACCTAAATCAGTTCACACCACAACATATTCTTTTTTTTAAAATCAGTACAAAATTGCCTCACATATATTCCAAAGTACAACCTCTGCTTCCGAAAGATAATAGCCAACAGTTGACTGAATGTATAAAATCTATACATATTCCATAGGAGAGGCGATTGCTTTGTACCTCTGGTTATACTTAATGCTTTATATTAACTTAAATTATTAAAATACATTTTAATAAGGAAAAAATTAGTGTTAGCATGTAAACTTTTACAATTACATTCTTTAAAAGGCAATTATATCAAAATACTTGCTTTCTGTTATGCTTTCACAGTGTGTCTGTACGTTGAAAACTTAGTTTCTACATGTTATATATTTGGAAAATCTATCCCATGGTTAACATTCATACTTCTTCTCATGTCAACATAGAAAAAAAATGGATTTTTATTCCTCTTATCAGCAAGATATCTCCTTCCTTTTCTACATTTTAATAAATGCCCATTTTACAAGTGGTTTAATGGAGGGTAGTGCCTACCCTAACCCTACCCTAACCCTAATATAGGGCAAAAATAACTTTGAAAACAGAGGGAATTTGAAAAAGCCTTCCTTGAGTAGCTTTTTCTACACTGCTCATCATTTCTGCCCATTCTAAACACATTCCAACCATCAAAATCATGCCAGGACACCTTGTTTTTCCTACCTTAACCCAGTGATGGTAAACCTCTTAGAGACCGAGTGCCCAAACTGTAACCTAAAACCCACAGCCAGTCCAAGCATACATACATACATACCCATATCCATATCCTTGGCAGCGCACCTGCCATGTGAAAGCTCGGACGAGTTGCGGCTAATGTGTTGCGGCTCATGACGTCATTGCCTGGCATCACTACTCCTTTCTGAGCATGAACATGGCCCCTGTGTGCGCTGTTATCCAATGCTCGGCTGCTGGGGCGATGCTGGGGCGACTTGGCTCACGTGCTAACAGAGAGGGCTCTGTATGCCTTCTGTGGCACGTGTGCCATAGGTTCGCCACCACTGGGCTGGACGCAGCCCTCCCTGGTGCTTAACACTGTCTGCTGTCTATAGACCTATGTTTAATTTTCCAGTGTTAATTTTGAAAGAAGTTGGATTTATTTATTTATTTATTATTTTAATTTCTGTTGTGTAAGGAAATAGCACCATGAGATTTTTTTTGCTTAAATTCTTTGAATGATCCTCAGAATCATATGGTATCTGTATACAGAGCATATTCTTATCTTAAGCAGATCTTCCCTCAGAAATGCATCTTTGTTTTGTATTTTTGATGTGCTTTGTTGTAGACGAGAGGCACAACTCGATGAAGAAGGGCAATTTTTGGTCAGAATTATTTATGATGATTCCAAAACATATGATTTGGTTGCTGCAGCAAGCAAAGTCCTTAGTAAGTATATCTTGATTTTCTTCAGTGTCGATTAATTCTTCAGGAAAAACTGCAGTTCAAGCAGCTGAGGCTGTTGCCTTCTTTGATTTAATGTATCCAAGGTTTGTGGATTAGGATGCAAAAAGTAAGAACAGGATTTTTAACATATTCCAAGTTAAAAGGCGGGATTTAACAGCAATCAACCCTGACTGCTCTTTAGAAGGCCAGATACTGAAGATGAAACTCAAATACTCTGGCCACCTAATGAGAAGGAAGGACTCCCTGGAGAAGAGCCTAATGCTGGGAACAATAGGTGGCAAAAGGAAAAGGGGTTGGCAGAGGATGAGGTGGCTAGATGGAGTCACTGAAGCAGTTGGTGTGAGCTTAAGTGGACTCCAGAGGATGGTGGAGGACAGGAAGACCTGGAATGTTGTCCATGGGGTCGCGATGGGTCGGACACGACTTCTCAACTAACAACAACAACAACATTAAAGGGAAATCTGAGGCATGCATGTATGCGAGTTCTTAAGCCAAATCTCTGGAATGCTCCTAAGAGCAGTGGAAAAGTATGAAGAGTAGTTTGGGTCTGTGGCATCAGCTTCTCAGAAGGAATTTCTTTTAAAAAGTGGACACATTCTGTAATATATCAGTTCCTTTTAGAGAAGAAGCACTAGGGCACTGCTTGTCTTTTTGGTTTGGTCTTTGCCACCACTCCCTTCTCCTAATGCTGCACTTACATCTTTAGAAAGTATTAAATGTGATTTGTTGGCCCAGCAAGAGAGCCTTGATGCCATCAAATAATGCAATATTCTTGGTTTTCTGTAGACCTTAATGCCGGAGAAATCCTTCAGATGTTTGGGAAGATGTTTTTCGTGTTTTGCCAAGAATCTGGTTATGACACCATCTTGCGAGTGTTGGGCTCAAATGTCAGGGAATTTTTGCAGGTAAGAGACCACTGGCAAATCTTTAATAGGCAAGCTTCAGTCTGATTTTTACAGGAAAGATTGGCAGCACAGAAGGGAGTCTCTTTCTTTTGGGCATTCCCCTATGCAAGTACAGATCTGGATCTAGAATGAGAAATCTGTCTGTACTCTTGAACCCCAGTGTTTGATTTACTCTATGACCTACCTCTCACATAAATAAATTGCCTCTGAGGAGAAAGCTGTCACAGTTGGGCGTCAGTCGTGTGCCCTTTCACCTGAGTGTCAGTTGCATTGGACACAATGAGACTTGCCTCTAGGTTACTATGTATAGCATTGTGCTGTTGTTCAGGAAAACCTACGTACCTGCCAGTTTGGGTTTGTATTAATCTAGATTAAACTTACAGTTGTGCACTAATGCCAAGCTATCTATGCTAGGCATCAAGATTTTAATTACACCAAGAACATATAAAATAACTGCATGGAACTATTTTTAAATCCAATTTAAGCTGATTTCATATCTTCTGTTAATCTGGGGGTACGTAGAGATGGAATTGTCTTTATTATTCTTAATAAACTTCAGAAAAATCTCAAACTGGTGTTCTAATTATACAGACTGGATAATATGATAAATGGGGCTGGAGTATTCTTAAGGCGAAATTGCTTAAAGGCCCCTGGCTGACTGAAATCCCTATTTTTTAAAAGTGAAAATATACAAGAAGATTATGGAGTTTCAGTTTACATGTCCAGATTGATATCAGCATATAAATCAAAGAAGCTTTTAAAAATGCGGTGGGAATATATGCTTATACTTTTTCAACTTTTAAAAGGAGTTGGAAAAGAATTTATTTAAAGGATATGCCTTTATTTCAGGGATTTAAGCATGTAAAACTTATTTGAAAGGCAAGAAAGAAGAGAATTAAAATAGGCATTTTTAAAAGATGTAATTCCTAGTTTCTATATAATGTGAATCTGAAAATACTGCTAATGGCAATACAAAGCAGTATGCAAAAGAAAGACAGCTCATAGTTAAGTGCAATTTGAGAAATCCCAAGGGAGTGTTTACATTAAAACAACCAAAGAAAATCAATCAGACACAAAGTGGTGGTTATTCTAAGATACTTTGGGGAATACTCTGTATCTCAAGTCATATTTTAAAAATGGGAACATAGTATTTGTGCTCTGGTGTTTTATAGCACTCAAAAGTACGGCCTACAAAATGATTTAGTTCAAAGGTAATGGCTATTGTGGATTAATTAGCTCACAAATTGACAAAATCTTGCAAGACTGGGTGAGTACACTGCCTCCAACATGCTCATTGTACCTGCTTTCACTTAACAACCTATGATAGCCTTACTTTTAAATTGTTTGTAAGATGTCCAGATACAGACACTGTGGATTATTTTGTGGTTAAACAACTGAGAGTTAACCCGACAATGAATTTTAGGTTAGTTTTTATGTCTGTGATAATGCTCAAGAACATATCTTTAAAGCTACATACAACTCCAGGTCCAATTCATCTATGCATCAAAGACACTGGGACTTAAGGTGACCAAATGCAGAAGATGGCTGCTTAAATTCACTCTTTACACATCACTAAAGGTGCAGGAATTGTGTCCCTTCTTGTATCTAGCCAACCTACTGAGATCCCAGGCCTCTTACCTATTGAAAGATCTCAGAATGCTTTGATTTGTTTGGATATCTTGCTGTATCACTTTAGTAGCAACTCTAGTACATTTACAGATTAGTTGTACAACTGGGACATTCATGGGGTGGCAGGAAGCATCTTGGGAGTTGTTCCTTTTTATACTTCTTGGATAATAAGTGGCATCAGAGACTGAAAATGGGAGAACAAAAGCAACAGGTGCTGCTGAACTCTATTACTTCCTGTTATTTTCTTTCTGCATCCCATTTTGAAGAAATATGCATTCCATTTGCATCCTGAAGTTGCTTTTCCACCTACCCACTCTGCCAGGAGAAATGCCATTCAAGGACAGTGATTCTGAGTGGACAAATGTCCAAGGGGAAAATGGTTAATTAGACCTTTCTCCTACCATTGAAAAATGTCAGTTTCCTGCTATCACTTTTTACTTCAAATGATCAGGAGATTTTTTTCATTCATCTCATTCAAATCCGTTCATTGATTTATCAAAGTTCTATATTGTCCAATTGGCAGATGCCTCCCAGGTCAGATTACAGTCACATGGTCTCTTTTGTCTCTAAGAATAGTCTCCGAAGAGCTTTTGGAATGGTTGGCCTTTCCCTGCCCTAGTAAGCACTTATAGACAAGTGACAGGGTTGGTTATGTTTGCTCTTGATGAACATCCATATGTATAAATTTACTCAGCACATTCAACATGCAAGGAACCCTGTTTTATATGGCTTTGTTTCCATGTGTAAGTCCTTCAAAGTTCTGATCCAATTCCAGTCAAGTATAAATGCTTATATTCTCTCTCTCTCCCTCTCTCCCTCCCTCTCCCTCTCTCTCTCTCTCTCTCTCTCTCTCTCTCTCTCTCTCTCTCTCTCTCTCTCAATCATATTAACCATACACACACATTAGATGAATTGTTTGCACTGCCTGTATTGGATAGTGAACTTTTCCTTAAGCTGTTTGGTTGTTCCACAAGCACACCCAGGGAAAACTAAAGGATAGAATTAGTCAGTTTCTTCATGGATGCCATCCCATGGGACTGCTTGTAAACTTCTGAATTTGGAAGCTTATAGGCATCTAATCAAGCATGGCAAGAGTAAGAGGCAAGGACTGATTCTGCATTTCCCTGGCCTTTAAAGGCATTTGGTTAGCTGATCTTGGCTGTCTAAAGGGTTTCCCTCTACTCATGAGGAGGAGAACCTAAAGCACCACCCCACCCTTCCCCAACTTTCTGTGGCACCCATCCGGAAGACTGTCTTCCATCTTTGGAGTCTCAGCTGGTGTGGAAAGAACAGCCCTGGCTGAGAGGGTGGAAGAGAAGTGCTGGGTCTTCATCTTTTCTTATGCCTAGCAAGGCAACATCTATCAGCCCTGGGATTATATCCTTAGTGATCTTATTGCATTGCCATGTGCGAGTTCTTTGGATGGTTGTTGCACATGCTTTTATTTCAAAAATTTTGTAAGGAGCATACCATCTTAATTAAATGTAGATTTCAGACAAATAGAAGCAGGAACTCCTAGCCTGGGTGCAGCCTAAAGAATTAATTTATAAGACGTTCGTTTCCTTTGGAGTCCTCCCAAGAGAAGAAGCAGCTGTTAAGGATTTTATAATTCACAGGAGATAAAGTCCAAACAATTTTAAAAGTTTTGAGGAGATGCAGATGCTATGCAAAGGCATGATACAACTTGCACTTACAACATGTCTGCATTCCTTGGTATATTTAAGAACAAAAATCTCTCTCACACACATACACAAATATTAAAAAGATTTGGCCTTAAAAATGCCAAAGGAATAGGGATGATCTAGTGACTCTGATCCATTGTATGGAAAGTCAAATTTGGTACAATTATTTGTACACAATTATTATGTTGCTTTCTTTCCCTTGGAAATTGTAATAAGAGTAATGGTAGGCATGTCATGAGCCTAGCCAGCTGGATCCTGGGAGACCGCTTCTGACTCGCTCAGTTTTTATGTTTCTATGTTTCTAATAAACAGAAAAGTCAGGAATTGCAGGTTTGCAGTCCAAATATGATTTCTGAACTTGCTCACCCATCATATATCTCTTGATTTTCCAACACACTTACTTTTTAGGTTCCTGTTGCTACACGTAAGGATTTTGAGGCTGCACACTACAGTGCAAGCAGAGTGGAAATCACTGGCAGAAGCAGTTCCATCAGTGGCTGATACTCATTGTATTTCACTCTCAGATTCAATTGGAATACGTTACGCAGTAGAAATGCAGGAAAAGTAGGTTCTAACTTGTCAAATGATCTCTTTGCAGAACCTTGATGCTTTGCATGACCATCTTGCTACAATATACCCAGGCATGCGTGCCCCTTCCTTTAGATGTACTGATGCAGAGAAGGGGAAGGGACTTATTCTGCATTACTATTCAGAGAGAGAAGGCCTTCAAGATATTGTCATTGGAATCATCAAAACAGTTGCCCAACAAATCCATGGAACAGAAATAGATATGAAGGTAAGTTTTTTTAAAAAAGTAATGGCTTATCAGCCATTGACATGCCTCTAATTTATGGGAGATACTGTTGATCTTAAAATTATTATTTTTTATAGGAATTTCTCTATTTTTAAAAAGCACCACATTACCAAGGTGATGTTTTCCCATTGCTAGACATAAAAAGCACTCTAGCATGTATCCCTCATCTTTCTAGGAACACTCTTCATATGTAGAAGGAACTACTTTTTTCTGGGATGGCTCTATTTTGCTTCCAAGTAGATAAGCACTCAGCCACCTTAGTTTGCTACCAGGAGAAATGTTTAACACACCAGCATTAAGTGAAATAGTCACAGACCCATCCTCTGCTTTTGTTAGATTGTGGTTGTGTGTCCTGTAGAAGAACCTTTTATATCACATAGAGTATTGTGGTTACTATTATCATTAGTGTAATTTATTATTAATTTTATTCATATACACCCCAATAGCTTTTTGGGTGGTTAACAACAATTTGCTTTAAATTACAGATAAGCATAACATCTAATACAAAATTTGAAAATAGAATTTTTTAAAAAACGTTTAAGGTGCAGAGTGCCTTAGATACCTACAGATATAAGTCTACACAATTCATTAGAACCATTTAATGTCTCAATACCAAGGGTAATCTTAATCTGGGACCAGACAGATGAGAGATTTAGTACAGGTAGTTGTTCCACAATCAGGGGCTGCCACTTTTTCATTGTCATCACCAACTGAGCTTCCCTCAGAAGTGGCTCTTGGACAAAGGCCTCAGATGTTCAGTGTGCTTTCTGGGTAGATTTGGTTTGAGAAAGGTTATTATATTTCATTACCAGTTCAAGAATCTTATCTATTGGCGATGTACAAAGATCTTGCTGCTTTCCCTTCCCCCAGCCTGGTATCATGCTACTATCAACCCTACATATTCATTAGGATAACCTTGAGGGCTGTCATCCCTCAAAGGAAGAAAAAGAATAGGGATATGTGTTTCTTCCCTCTTGGTATTTCACCTGTGGAGTAATAGATTTGTTGTCTCTCATGCATATGCAAAATTAGTATGTTGCTGTTTTGTGTCTTCCCAAAATGTGGCATCAGTGCTGCACCTAGTGGAGAAGGAAGAACACATCTGAATTCCAGCTGATTTTCAACAGCACAAGGCCGTGCTGTCACACCCATGGCAGAAGCTCTTCTGAATTTGGAGGTTTGCAAGCATCCAGTTCAGGGCACAAGGGGGGAGGCAGTGATGTCCACTGCTACAACATCTTGCTCCATTTTCAGCTGTCTAGATTTAGCACTTTGGGAGGAAGAAGAAAAGAGGCTAGGAACTGACAGAGGACTCCCTTCTCCACTCCTGGCATGCCATCTGTCTGTCTGTCTGGGCCTTCAACATCCCGGCTTTGAGATTGCAGCATCATAGAGCTGGGTTTCTGAAGAATCCCCCTGCAGACACTCATATCACAATTTATTATCACCCATTTATCATAATTTTGTCTATAGTGGATAAATAATATAACATAATTCTGTCTTTAATCCATTCCTAGTGTATTATAAACAGGGAAGATTCAGTGGAGAACATGATACACTACTGCAGAGGAACTTTTGCATCACGAACCCCAAATTTTCAAACGTACATGAATCATATATCATAGCTGACACATATAGAATGATAGAATTATACAGTTGGAAGAGGCCTGGCAGGCCATCACGTTTAACTGCCTGCTCAATGAAAGACTCAAGTCGCCCATCCAGATTTCATCCTAGCCCAACCCTGCTTAGCTTCCAAGATTAGGCAGGATCAGGCACTTCAGATTTTATGAAAACTATGATTAAATCACATTATAATTTGCCACAAATAGATGTCATGTGGAAGTCAATGTATGTTAAATACCTCAGTTGATATGTATTGTGCACTGATTTGATATAAAGATATATTTTTCAAATTGGTAATGATTTGAGAGGGTAAAAAGTTAAAGAAATGAGCAAAAATGGTCTGTATCTCATTAGAACATGAAATCAGTACCCTCCTGTACTGGCAAGGAGGTAATTTATCTGATTGTTCTGATTGGTTAAATCTCATAGAAAATTATGCAATAGCACCACAGTCAGAGAAATTGCATATAAGGTCATCTGGCTATCTTAAGAAAACAGCCCTGCTGAAATACATGGAAGTCATGGTGAATCATATGTCACATGTAGTTCCAGGTAGGATAAGCAGTAGCAGCTGCAGAATGGACAGGGCAAGATAGTTTGACCAGTGCAAATGCAAGTTTGGTGGCAGTTTTATGGTTTGTCCAGACATCCCAGTGCAGCTTTTCTTTAAGTCGTAAATATACTACAATGGCCACAATAGTGGTTGTACTAGTAGAATAACAGTGGCAGCAGCGATGAATAATGATGGGGAAGGAGGAGAAGTAATCATCGTCTTGTGACATTATACATTTTTGATGATTAGAGGCCAATTTTTTTGATGAAGTATCCTCAATCTGTAAGGTCCCAGAAGACTTTATGGTTTTTCTCTCCTGAAGGGCCATCTATTTTGATGAAGCCTGCCATTCCTGACATGTCTCCTGAAGTTGCTACTGATTTAAACAACTATAACTGCACAAGGAGTTAAACTTTTTTGTTCTTCCACAGTTTCCAGTTGTATAGGACAAAAGCATGGTTTTTTGAAATGCTTTTAAGATATGAATCAACAACAAATGTTTCTGTTTATTGTTTTGGACTGTTTTTAGGATGAGAGAGATACTCTGTAAATAAACAAATAGCTCTTTTGGGGTCTATTTCTAGCAGATGATTTCATTTTCTCATAAGAAAAACACTGGCAAATGCTATGAAAATGTTGCATAGCAGATATCTTTCCTCTTGCTCATATCTCCAGTCCCCCGGTGATAAACAATTGCTTACTTCCTGCAGTTATACCATACTGCATGGTGTCTCCATACATATGCTTAGTCCAAACATGTTGATCATTTACCAGAACCAGGCTTGCAAGCCCTCAAAAGATCTGGGTTCTAGTCCCCATGCAGCCCTGAAACTCACTAGGTCACTTTTATCCTAACCCATCTCACTGGATTGTGCAGATAAAAAGGAAAAGAGGAGGACCATGTAAGCCACCTTGGTCTCCTCTTAGGAGTCAAAAGGCAGGATATAAATGTAAGATGATGACGATGACGACTTTTTAAGTTGGGGCAGCCTTTTAGTAATGGTCAACATTAGATAACTGCGAGTCAGGAACCCTTGTTATGGATCGCCCAAATAGCTGCTAATGGATCTCATTTTGCCTTCTGCCTATCCTTGCCTGGAAAAAATGAAAACATTGAACATATTATGACACAGCTTGAATGTTGACAAGGCAACTTTAATAGAACTCAATAGGAATGATTTATGCTTCTTAAAAAATCGAGCAGCAGTGTTTTGGGGTTTGTTATATGGCACTGTGAAAACTCTCCCTTCCTCGTTGAAGTCACTATTCATAGAGCTGAGCCGGAACATCCATTTTGGTACAAATTACAGGAGGGAGGATCTGCTGGGTCTCTCTTTGAAACCTGAAGGGTGATTTGTCTTCATTTTTGCTGTTGTTGCCATGGTGAAGGAGTTCGTAGACATGCCTGGCTGACGTCATTTGCTGGTGAGATCCACAGAGGGAGACCAGAATCACACGTGATTCCTGGCTGGGTCACTGTAGGTGTTGTTCTTTCATTTACTAAGCATTTTACGCACAGATCTTTAGCACACACACATGAACAAGTCAGAAAATGTATAAAGCTTGGGGATCTGGTTTGTTGTTTTGCCCCATTTTCAAAGAAAGAAGGCATTTCACTGCACTTTCTGATATTTTATTGCATTATTTATCTACCATTTATTTGCCAAAAGCTATCAAGGTGGTATACAGTTATTTAAAATAATAATGTCTTACAATAAACAATAAATGTTAATAACAATAACGAGCATACATTTCCAGTCTTAGACAATCATGCACATGTTATAGCAATTTTAGAAGAGAATATAAAGTAGCATTGTTTTATTTCACTGCAAATCTGTGCAGATTTAATCAATTGAGTATTTGCTCAATAAAATTAACTAAACTTTGATTGATGAGGTGACAGTCCTAAAAGCAACTACAAAAGCAACTATAGTCTTTTATAGCTTTCTTAAGCCAGTGATAGCTTTCTCTTAGGTGATTTATCAATGCTGTTTGAAGCATTTGATGTAGACATCTTAGACGTCAAAAGAGCATTTATATGGCTTTCTGCAATCCTACTAATGTGAGTAAAGCAGGCTACGTAAGAGGTCTTCAATTTAGCTCTTCTCCATTGCCTCCATCCATGCACTACCTTTTGCAAGTCATTGAGGATGCGCTTGTGAAATCAAAGCATATCCAGGACACCTGAGCCTCATGGGAATGGCAACTGCCATGGTGCCAGGTGGCACTTGCGCCTTCTTGTGACCCTCTGCATTGTAAACTGGATTGTCCTACTGACCTGGTCTAAGGAGCAAATGGTATTGGTTCTGAAGCCTTGGAAGACTACAGTTGTTTTTTATTCTTCAGCAGGCAGTAAGGTAATTGCTTCATGCCAGGGCACAGATGCTTCTGGATAGACATACTATTGCCTAGGACTCAATATTCAAGACCATTTCAGGCCAGGTCTGAACTTCACTTGGTTCAGATGGTCAACTCTAAAACCCTGTACCAAAATTTGGAACTGATCATGCAGTTTCAGAGCAATTCTTGATCCCTATGGAAGAAGAACGGGAGGAACACAAGTCAAAGAGCATTCTACTATTATTCACAATGCTTTCTTTATTATATTAAGGTTATTCAACAAAGAAATGAAGATTGTGATCATATTCAGTTTTTAATTGAAGAGAAGGAGTCTAAGGAAGAGGACTTTTATGAAGACTTGGACAGATTTGAAGAGAATGGGACTCAAGAATCTCGCATCAGTCCTTATACTTTTTGCAAGGCTTTCCCTTTCCACATTATATTTGACAGAGATCTAGTTGTCACCCAGTGTGGCAATGCAATATACAGAGTCCTTCCACAGGTAAGACTTCTTTTTCTTCTCCCCTCCTTCACTGTATGCAAGTACCACTATACACTTGTTTATATGGGCTTATATGGGTGTGTGATTTGTCCATACTGGCAGTCGGTTTGCATGCACTGTTTGGATGGTGAAAGTCATTTGCCTTTGTTCATTTTCATCTAGGTCTGCATGAAACCTCTCTTTCAGCAGTCTTTTTATCAATATTTTAAAATTGCTTTTTTCTAAATCCATTAACCCTGAAAGATCCCCATGTGCAATCTGAAAGAAGCATAAATAATTGCTTTGTCTAGTACACTATAAATATGTGTTGATCAGTTCTCATTTCATGATTGAATACATTAAGCACATTGTAAGGTGTGAATTAAAAAGTCTCATATTGGACAATCAGTCAGCATGCTCCTTCTTACCTTTTTCCTCATGGTATTTTTCATAAATCCAGAATGGCCCCAAAAGGGATCTTTCTGAACTCCTTTGAAGCCAATGACTATGCTTGAGAGAATCAACGTTGAGCTAATTAATGCTCTTCTTGTTCCACTTTGAAACTGTAGTCCCATTTACAATCTTTTGTTGATGTTCAAATGGGAAAAGAACACATTTGGCTGTATATTTTTTAAAGTATGCACCCAAAATTTGTTTTTCCTAACTTGAGTAAGGTTTCAGAAACTAATTTCTGAAAATGCACATATGGGCAAAATAAAATTCTCGCATGAACTGGTGTCATGTTCCCTTCCACCCCGTCTGACTAGCGGTATGGAGGGAAGCACATCTCAAGGTGGTGCAACAAAACAGTTTCCCTTGGTGAAACATCTAACGTAACTAAGAAGTGTATTTGAACATATATTAGCTTGTGCTGGTTGAGTCAGTGTATATTTGAGTCCTATGAACCAGGCCATTCTTATTGTCATTTTGTAATGTGCTTATATATCATTGTAGCTCTTGGAATTGGTGCTTGAATCAATTACAAGGGTTGTTACATCCTGAAAAGTCAATTCATGCTCTTGGAATTGGTGCTTGAATCAATTACAAGGGTTGTTACATCCTGAAAAGTCAATTCATGCTCAGTGTTAATAAATGTCACATTATTTTCTTTACCCCCAAATTTTGGGCAGTGTGAGCGGTTTCCATGCCAATGTAAAGTAAACATCCTTCTGCACACATCTACACATGAAAATATGACCTTGAATTTTATTAATTGATTCAATTGTTGATGGTGAAATTTGGAAATGAGCAATGAAGAAAAGGAGAGTCACAGGTGTGGTAGTGCAACTTCTTTTGGAATCCTTTTGAAACATTCAATTTTCAAATAAGAAAACATTTTACATGGGAATATTATAGTACCATGTATCCTTCATTGTGCCTTCGAAATTATATGTTTTTCACAATTGAAATACACTATACTATTCTATATTTTCCAAATATAGAATACATTATGCTAAAATGTGGTACTGAAAAGGGAAAAACCCACATCAAGATTGCACTGATAAATTAGCTCACTAATCAGTAAAGAACAGTCTATTGCAGTATCGTCACTTATAGATTGCAAGACTTCAAAAATGATATTTTCCTGTTTTATTTACATTTATTTCAGCTCCAGCCAGGATACTGCAATCTATTATCAGTGTTTTCATTGGTTCGGCCTCATATTGATATTAGTTTCCATGGAATTCTCTCACATATCAACACAGTCTTTGTGTTGAGGAGCAAGGTAACCTAAATGCTATTCATTTGCCATATTCACTGCGTAATTATGCTGTACTTGTATGAACAATAAACTCTCCAAACTTTGACATGATTTTGAAAGGGAGAAAGAAGCAGAAGACTTTTTTTTTCTTGACCCATTCCAGTTTGGTCCAAGGGTACAAAAACAGAAATAAAACCTACATGTGATTGCAGATTGCATTAAGAAGTGTTTGTGGGTTCAAAGGATGACATATACATGTGGCTATGGCATTTTTAGTTGCAGTGACTTTTATCTTTACAAGGAAGGGCTGTTGGATGTGGAAAAGCTGGAGTGTGAGGATGAATTAACTGGTACAGAAATCAGCTGCTTACGCCTCAAGGGTCAAATGATCTACTTGCCTGAAGCAGACAGCATTCTCTTTCTTTGTTCTCCAAGGTAAGCAAACAAGATCAGTCTCTATTGCACTGGCATTGTGACAAAGTTAGTGTAGTCTTTGGGCCCAAAGAACCATGATGCAAAGGGCTGTGTGCATTGGTCTTACTTTAAAATAGCCACATGGGGTGGAGGGGCTCCAGTTTTGATCAGTGGTCATTGGTGGAGAGATACTTAACCCTTGCCTTTTATATTATCAGCTGATCTAGGTGCCCTTCACAAGTACTTCTGCTGGAGAAAAGTACCGGTGCCCCCCTTTCTTGCAGAGGTTAAAATTAAGACTTCAGCAAGATATTTGAATTGGGAAATGGCATGAGCCAAATGGTGAAACCAGTTCCTTCATCCCTGCTGCTCTGATAGGCTGTCCGGTCAGGATCAAAATCATTCTATCACAGTAGTAGTAGCCTGCTGAGAGAAGAACTAATAGTAACCAGACAGCAAAGCTGAGCTGCTTTTGCTCTGTGTTTGTTTCCTTTTTGCCTATATTGGCTGTTACAATCAATTATTACAATATAGACCACATCTCTAAAGAAATGTCTCGCCCTGTATGTACCTGCTCAGACCCTCAGGTCATCTTTATAATTTCTTGTTTTACATATTTGCATTGCATTTTATATTTTCACTATCGTATTGCTCCTTTTAAAAATGTTTGCAATTTGCCCAGAGAATATTTGTGAACAGATCAGCGCTAATCCTAAAATTGTAATAAATTGAACAAACAAATCCCATTTCCTTGACTAGTGGATAAACCCATGTGTAACACCACATCACCTGTATTTTTCTGGTAACTTTATGTATTTATATATTCCATTTATAAAGCACCCAGTCGTCAGAGCTTTCTGGGTGGTGAACAACAATTTGAAAAAAGCAATTAAACCTAATACTGTGGATACAATAAAACATCAAATGTACTACAAAATTTAAAAAACAAAAAAATTAAAAAGTTTTGTTTAGATAAAGCTGTGTATAGATTTAAAGTATAGTTATACTGCACCGGCTGAGCAGAAAAAGTGAAATATTTCATGCATATGAAATATTAATAGGAAAGCATGTCGCTTTTTGACAATTAAAAATAATTACAAAGTAAGGGCACCATCCCATCTAGATTTAGATGGAAAAAGGTTATACAATTTCCAGCATGATCCATGCCTAACACACATAGGATTATGCCCTTCATTGTTTATTGCAAGGCAGATGGCATCCGACCATTTTCTTATCTTTCCTTTGACTGTTTCTCTGTCTTACAGTGTGATGAACTTGGATGACTTAACCAGACGAGGGTTATACCTGAGTGACATTCCACTGCATGATGCTACCCGTGACTTGGTCCTTTTGGGAGAGCAGTTCAGGGAGGAATACAAGCTGACGCAAGAATTGGAGATACTAACAGACCGGCTTCAGCACACATTAAGAGCACTGGAGGATGAAAAGAAAAAGACAGACACGTAAGAGTTGTTCTCCAGATGTAGGCAAGAAACAGTGGTGAGGAGGTTTGTTAGTCTTGCTTTCACAGACTAGTCTTGCTTTCACATAGGTTCACAGACTCCTCTGTTTTGGGGTTGTCCAGTTGACGTCAATGAAACTATTTCATATGAAGTGACATTAAGGGGGTGACCTGAAAAACACAGTGAATATCTAACTTTTCATGTTGAAATTAATATGTCTTTCTCCCATACAATTAGGGGCATTGCTTCTGATTTCAGTGTGAGTAGAAAAGTCACACTCTCCCTGATGTCACTTGAGCCCACAGGGGGTGGGGAATCTAGTTCCCAGCTCAGAACAGTTTTGGGCCCCTGGTATACACAGCATGTATAATTAAGGTCAGTGGAAAAATCTTGCAGCATGTTGTATGAAGTTGAACTGAGAAAAATAATATCCAGGAAGTCTTGTTCTGTCAGTGTTATCATCATTTAAACTTGAAAATGATAGGGAAAGTAATCAGCATAATATGAATGCTAAAGCCATAACCTAGAATTAAATAAACAAGACTATATTAGAAACCAAAGCAATTCAGTGAATAAAACCTTCTGTTTGGATTCCCTGTGGTTATGGAAGTTATTTGCTTTTCTTAGAATACTGCTTCCCAGTTCTAGAATCTTCCTTGCCTGTGGCAAATTTAGTTAGAGCCTTCATTGTTATTTGTATTTCAAAATTACTATATAAACTACTTAGAGTAATAGTGTCCCTTGGCAAAACAGGTTTTATAGCTAGAAATTGAATATATCGTATATGCCAACAAAAAACACATTTTCTGAATACTGATCCTTACGTTCCTGAAATGGTATTGCAACAAAAATGATTGTTTATTTGGATTTGGAAACACTGCCCTATGAGGAGAGACTGGAGAACTGGGAATGTTCAGCCCTGAGAAGAGAAGACTGAGGAGGGATATGATATCCTTCTGTAAGTACCTCAAAAGCTGTCACAAACTGGAAGGTCAAGAGCTCTTCTCACTGATACCAGAGTGTAGGACATGGAACTATCAAGCCAAGTTGCAACTCAGATTCAGGCTAGATATCAGGAAAAGTTTTCACTGTCAGACCAATACAACAGTAGAACCTGTTGCCTGGTTGTGGATTGTGGGCTCTCACAGACTAGAGACATTCAAAAAGAGTGAGATGGTGTAACTTGGTGTCCTACAACAGCAGGGGATTGGACCCAATAGCTTTCATGGCCCCTTCTAGCTCTACAGTTTGTGATTCTATACACAAGAGGGGAAAGCTTCAGGAATCCAAGGTTTACAGAAGTGTTAAAAAAAAATCAAAGGGGAGATTGCAAAACAAGCCAATGAAGCCTGAGCTTGCTGACCTACTGTTCAAGTAAGAAGACAGTAGACCCAATGGGGAATGGAATAGAATTGAATGGAATGGTTGGAAACCTGAACAGAAGCCCTCTACACTTCAACATTTTGTTGGGCACTCTACTTATACTGAGTACTAAAACTTGGATATACTTCTGAAAGCAGTCCACTGTGGTCCTGCTGCCCTGTTGTGGTTTTCTGGGCTTTTTCTGTCCTGTGCTTTAAAGGCTGCTGCTGTCCTATCTTTCTTAGATTAAAGGTGGTGATGTTAGAAGTTGTTAGTGGGAGGGGAATATTCTAGGCAGCTGTTTGATAATAGGCTCTGTTGATCTGATTATTGAATACAGTCCATCATTGCAATAGTCACCACCAGTTGGACTTCTGATGTCCATGCATAACATTACACGAAAGGTTTCTATGGTTTACTGAGGATGTACTTACATTCTGAGTTTCTAATTTAACAAAGAATGAGTTTCAGTTTCATAATTTGGCACTGTTCCAGTAAAATGTGCCTGTGGAATAGCCTTCCCTCAGGATGAGAGGATTCTAGGCATGGCCCCTAAAGGCATCCTCACCCAGCTGGGTTCTCTTTTAGTTTCCATCCTTCATCCTCTTGTTCCAGAAATCATTGAGTAAATTATTATCACACCTACTTGTGATACATGCCACTAAAGTCTCTTCAGAAGTTGCTCTTTCAGCAATGCAATAATCTGCTCAGTCTTTGTATCAATGACCTTGGGGCTCATGTTACACTTGCTAGGAAATGCCACACAAAACAGCAATCACAAAGTCTCTTTGTGATGGTGCCAACTCACTTGGAGAAATGTTCTGAACTTTTTAATGTTTGGAGCATTGTTTTTAGTGGCATACCTGTGGTGTTTCATAGAGCTTTTTCCTTATTGTGTGCTTATGATTCCTTCCTCATGGTTCTTTCAGTAATGTGATCTTCTATTTTTCAAGGTTTTTGTTTCAGAAATTAGATCTCACTTTCAGAGGTGCTATTGCTACTTGAGCATTTGCTCTTTTTTGCTATAGCACTGTTCCACCTAGAGGCTATGCAGTGGAAAAGCAAGAAAGGAAAAGCTTTTTGCATGCAACTCAGCTATCAGTTCTGTGACAGAGCCAAAAGTAGATTCAGGAATTATGCGTCTCATGTAGAAAATCCTTCACTTACTGGCTCATGTTAATATATTTTTTGCCTTCCGACAATCTGAACATGATTAAGAGTGGGTATATGAAAATAAAAGAACAGACTTGTTAAATAAAAATCAGACCATACTCAATTCAACTGAAAAAAAACTAAATTAGGTCACTGAGTGTATAAAGTATGTTTTGATGAACTCAAGGCATTCTGGAAGATATTACATGCTACTTTTTAAAGGAAGCTTTTATTATTAGCTTGGCTTTTTCTTGGCTATTTCCCCCCTTGACTCATAACTTTGACTTTCAGTTTTGGACACTAGTTTTTGTTTAAATGTACATGACTTATTTACTGCAACCCACCTCATTTGAGCTATCAGAATAATAACAGATTATCTGGATTAAGGCATAATCCTATGTCTACATAGGAAAAAAATGTCTACGACTCCCAACATGCCCCAATCAGCCAGCTAGCTATGTGGGAAGCTGGGAAGCCCCTTTTTTCTGTCTAAACATGCATAAGTTTATGCCTTTAATAATCAAATTTAAGAAATATGTTTGCCTTCATCTGGTTCTGAAGATCTGTTGTAAAATCTGTATATAATTCATCTAGAATGTAGGTGAGTTAGGTGAGCTATGGAAAGGTATCAATGCTTGTGGGTGTGTGTACATTCATGCCAACATTGTAAGTTAACCAAACACATTGGTGGGACAAAACCATATATACATCATGACTAATAACACATACATTTTAAGTTGGTTCTTTTTAAACATACGCAGAATTGTTTTCCCCTAAAATTGAATCTCTTGTTCAGGTAAACTAATATGTGAAAGAAGTGACTCCTGTGGAAAATTTTAAGGATACAATCAAAGCAAAGAAAAATATTTTATGACTTATCAATTTAATTTCTAGAGGATCATGTATATACTTAATCCATGAGTGTTAAAATACTATCCTTTGCCTGAATTGTGCACAAAGCATTTAGCAGTGTTTTTTTATATCTATAAAAACCACTCTTAATATCTTGAATCATTTACTGCTAGAAGCTTATAACATATAAAATCACCTTTCATATGGGAACTTTATTGAAACAAAAATTTCTCCATTTCTTTCCTTTCTTTACTCTGTCTGCTTAGGTTGTTGTATTCTGTGCTTCCGCCATCTGTGGCCAACGAGCTGAGACACAAGCGTCCTGTGCCAGCAAAGCGTTATGATAATGTGACCATATTGTTTAGTGGCATTGTTGGGTTTAATGCCTTCTGCAGCAAACATGCCTCTGGAGAGGGTGCCATGAAAATTGTCAATCTTTTAAATGATCTTTACACAAGATTTGATATTCTGACTGATTCACGGAGGAATCCCTTTGTTTATAAGGTAAGCTGCACTGCTCCATTTCTGAACTTTGCGTTAGAAACACTGTTGCTCCAATTGAAAATTATGCACATACCATAATGTTTAATTATAAAAATATGAAAAGTTTCAATCAGATGGGTGTTATCTGATGAAGATTTTCTACATATAAGCACTTACTCTTAAATCACACTGAAATATCTGAGTGAATTGCAACTACAGAAATCAGAGAAATAGTTTGCAACTACAAAACATTTTGCTGAAACTTCATTCTGAATCCAGATGTTAAGTGTCAAGTGTTCAGTGATGTTGATGCAGTATTTGTCATTCAATTTGATGGGCTATGCACAGTACTTACCCAGTTTAGTGGAGGGCCTGTCCAAAAGGAATAATGCTATAAATAATCGAACTAAAACTGAACCCCGAGGTGGGCTTGTCATGAAGCCAAAGAAAGCCACATAATTTAGGCAACAGATTACTGGAGTTGCTACATGCAGGCATATGCAATTTTCTGAGGGCTAAACCATATATGTCAGTAATCATACGTAACGGAGTTATGCATTATAGTTTTCTTCACCTTTGTATAAGTGGTCACAGCCCTGATTTCTCAGGAACGCATGATTCAGTCAGAATTGCTGCCACACATGCTTCCGTGAAGGCAAAGAAAAGTATACTGCTTATCTCCAGTATGATTTTCCCATAACTTCGAAGTGTGATTACTCAAGTCATTACTTTAGCTCTTATCTTTGATTCTGTGAACTGCCAAGGAAGCCTTTCTGCTCATGAGCAGTGTAAAATATAATAAATAATAAAATAAATAATAATTATCTCCAGCCTTTCTAGTTGCAAGTCAAAGCAGACTAGTGTGATGGGACACAGATTCATATATTTCTCATATGTTTCTCATATAATTAATAATAGTTTGCTTTCTGATCAAGATACCAGTGTTCCTAAAACCAAGGAAGCAGAATAACTGCTAATTTCATATTTTGATAGGTTGAGACAGTTGGAGATAAGTATATGACAGTCAGTGGCTTGCCAGAGCCATGCATTCACCATGCACGTTCCATCTGCCACCTAGCATTGGATATGATGGAGATAGCGGGACAGGTGCAAGTGGATGGAGAGTCTGTACAGGTTAGTAATTTGCAATAGTCTATAGGTTTATTTGTATATCATCTTCACGTCTAAAACAAGCAAATGCTCTCTCATCGTCCTCCTCCCACAAAAGGGGGCAAGATTATAGTAATGGGCATAACCAGTACTGGGGCTTTGATGCATATGGGTGACTGGTCAGTGGAGACCACCTAACAACAAGTTGTTCTTAAGTCCATTATTGTAACTTGTCATGGGATTCTGGTTCTCATATAATGAAAAGCTACTGGGGGTGATTTTAAGGATTATTTTAGACCATAGGTTGTTTTAGGTTATGGGTGACTTGTTAACTACCACAAATTGCATCTTTGCTGAGTTTGTTATATAGCAACAAACTATGGCATGCTCTTCCAGTGACTCAAATATTCAAACTGGCAGCCATCACTGCAATGAGAAGCCTCACAGGGGAATTCACCTCTGTCACTGTAGGAACCCCCTTCATTCTATGAAAACTTAGGCATTGGTTGAAAAGATATAAAAGCTAAATTTAATTTTCCAGGTAAGAAATCTATCCATCATTGTGAATATATGGACAAAATGACCTTTGAAATGGATAGAATGATTATCGAAAAATTAGGGTTAGGGCTAGGGTACTGGACCTTACTACAAGTACTAATAGATTTGTTGTCTTTTGTTAATTACCTGGGTAATGAAGCTAGTGATTTATTAGCTTGTTTATATCAGCCTAAGCTGTGAACTGCAATGCCATATACATTGCATTTGACTTGGTAACATTTTACTTTCTATTTTCTAAATAAAAAGATAACAATAGGCATTCACACAGGAGAAGTAGTCACAGGTGTCATTGGCCAAAGGATGCCCCGTTATTGTCTTTTTGGAAACACTGTTAACTTAACAAGCAGAACAGAAACCACTGGGGAAAAGGGAAGGATCAATGTTTCTGAATACACTTACAGGTAAGAAATTGAGTTTCCTGATTGATTGTATTAATTTCAAAGTAACCATTTCTAAATTGTCTTTTTTAGAGCAATTGGTTCATTCTTTCATTGATTTTAGAGTCAACTCCTTATTTAAAAAGTTTGAATGAACTCATGCTAACAAAGTGTACTAAAGTAGCATTAAATGGAGGGTGGGAAATATAATAAGTTGTGATAGGCTTTTAAAGACATTTCCTAGCCCAATAGCATCTGCTCCACACAGCACTTCGCAAAAAATATATCTTTTGCTGTTAATTGTTTGCCTTTAATTGCAGATGTCTGATGACTCCAGAAAATTCAGACCCACAATTCCACCTGGAACATAGAGGACCTGTTTCCATGAAGGGTAAAAAAGAACCAATGCAAGTTTGGTTTCTGTCCAGAAAGTGCACAGAGACAGAGGTATGACTTAATTAAAAATCACCAAGGAATACATATGAACAGTGTAAACCATGAGGGCCTTATTTCCCTGAAGAACTGAATGTCCCTTCAAAAAATAAACCATTTAAAAACAGAGCATTAATACGTTTGCTATCTTGAAAGGAAACCAATGTTTGTTCTGTACCCCTCTTGTTTATGTGTTTATTAGCAACTAGTTTAAATAGTTCAGAAAGTCCTTGAGAGTGCCAAATGATTAAATATCAATTTCACATGCAATTCCTATGATGCTAGGATTGGTAACATTCCAACCATGACTAGTTTGCACAGTTCTTCTCAGCTAAACAAGCCACAGTGTGTTGCTTAAGCTGCAGCATGTGCTGGGCAAGATTTAGTTATCCCCTTCCTGGCTTGTTATGTTGTCTGAATTCTGGCAACATGCCTTGTTTGAGAGGGAAGCAACATTTAAATAACATCCTGTGGGTTATTTCAGGGTTGTTTCCCTGTAAAATGACCATGCGGTCCAGATTCAGATGATATGACCAAATGAGGCTAAGCAGATGATTATGAAAATCACATCTAACATGTTTTGGCATGTGCTGCACTGAAACAAACCAACATGGTTTGTTTAACTGACAATGATCTTCTGAACCATTGGACATTTCTACCCTCGCTTCTGTTGAGCAGCTACTGCACTGTCTGTGACTCTACACACTGCTTCCCTTTTGTATGGTTTGCTTTCTGAAAGAGCTCCATTTTCTCAAAGCATATTTGCACTTTGGCTCGACTAACACTGGAAGCCACTTTTTGCCCTAGCCCTAACATCAAAAGCATTTCACTCCAACTTAGTTCCAAATACTAAAGTGGGTAGTAAATATTGCTTATTACTACAGTTTATGTTGTGTAAATATATTTAGGTTGCTCTAGCAAACAAATGTTAAAATTTACACTGCTTAAATTTTATACTGTTAGCAACAACATTATTTATACCAAAGCACAGTTAACTAATTGCTTAACTTGGAAACCTGAATTTTATGTGGGAGATGGAACTCTGGGCCCAAAAAATAAACATGCATTTTTGAGCTACAAGCTGCTTAATTTCAAGAAGCACCATAAGTATGTAGCTATGCTGATGGTGTCTCTTGAACAATAAATATATTTATTGTCACAGCTAGCTTATACTATAGTAAGACAGCCATAGAAATTCATTTGCAAATTAGCATCATTCTTAAATGGGGAAAATCCAAAAGAACACATGAAATGTAAACAAAAAGAATCAGCCAGGTTTTACCAACAACTGGTGTCTTAATGCTTTGATACGTAATTTTTGAGCTAAGAGTAATTCAATTTGTTGATATATGCCCTTTTTCACTGAAATAGCACTCAGGCCTGTATTACTATATTGAAATGTTAGTACTAACTAGTTAGTTAGTACTAGTATACTGCTAGTAGGCAGTAGCTATCAGGGCGAGACTTAAATGTTGATAATGAACCCATGGGAGACTTAAGATCAAACAAGAGGAGGTTTCAGGCCATGCAGTCCTGCAGGCAGAAATTGAACTGTATTGACTTGCTAATGCTCATGTTTTGGCCTTCAGCAATGTCAACTTCTAATATCCATGCTCTCTGTTTTAAGCAAGACATTTTTCACAAGGTCCATTATTAGATTTGCACGCTACTGATACTACTTTACCCACTTTCAAAGAGAATGAAAACTGTTGCTATGGCAGGTCTAGCCGTGGCCCCATCTTGGTTCCTGTGCACACTTGCATTTTAAACCTGCTTTTAAAGCACAATGATAGGATCACCACCATGACTAATAACCCTTTTCTGTTCTCTTGTCTCTGCCCTGAAACAATTAAAAACAGATAGCTGTCCTGCTTTGGCTGAATCAGTCTGAGTATTAGAGCATGTTATGGGCAGTCCAAAAGGCAATCAGACAATTGTTTAAACACAAAATGTTCAGTCCTAAGGCATGAATGGTTTGGATACAAGCAAAGACCAAAGCACAGTTAAGCAGACAAATACTATACACAAAGCAGGAGCAGAATCTCCTGGGAATCTCATGGAAATCTGAGAATCAACTGCAGAGGATCAAACATGAAAAGTGATACAATATTTTTATTGTATCATAGGAATGTGACACCATCAAATATGCTTGAAAATAACTTTCAGTGCTAAGTATGGGCTCTTATGTGGTTCATGGCATCTTTACACTACCATGAAACATAAAACATGAAATGATGATGAGCTTCTAATAGTAGTTATTCTTCCTTAAGCACATAACAGTGTTGGTGTCTATGCAATTCACCCATATATGAATATTTCTTGCTTACTGCACATTATTACTATAAGCTCAAGTCCTTTTCAAATTTTCTTGCATGCCTTCAAGGAAGTAACGCATGATGCTAACTGAGCCAGGCAAAATACAAGAGGACAAGAAACAGAGTGGAACACTGTGTCCTGACACTAACATAGTCTGGTAGTAATTAGATGTGACTGCTATTGCTACATGTTGTATCTCTTGCATTTACTCATTTGATCTGGGCCGAATACTAACATTTTCACCAGGCTTCTCTGTGCTCTCTGCTGGCTGGTTTTTGTTCACTTGGCTTTTGATATGACAGTATCTCTGCTCTGGCTATGTGTATCCCAAGATCATTTGTCTTTCTTTCTGTATCTTAAAATCTAACATATTGATGAACTTTAAGTCTTGTGTGCTCTGGCGAACCATAACAAATCTAGTGCTTCATACATATGCTTTTCATCTCCATCTCTAATGACTAATCGCCATGATCTTTATGATGATGTGACTCAAAGCTGTGCAAGAAATTCTAATTGATAGCAAGAATCATGAGAACAAAGAACAGATATTTTTATAACCATGATTTGGCATTTTGTTGTAAAGCTTATTACAGTTATCCATCTGCTTCCTTCCAATCTGCTGTTGTGAAATGATGCAATTTGTTCTAGAAGCTTCTGTGCACTGTCTGTTGCTCTTTTACTATGTATTGACTGTCACCTGATGCAATGTATACATTTGGTACATGGAAAAGTAGGTTATTTGATGTTAGGTTAGTGGGAAATGTGTGCCAATTTTTATTCTCAGTCTAATCCTATTCTCTCCTGCTGCACTTACTGATTGCTAGTGGTAAAGATAATTCATGCTTACTATGTTGCTGGACAACAGTTTATATCATGCCTAATGATAGGGTGAGCGAGTAGGTGTATGGTGTGTGTGGAGTTCCAAAGAAAAATGTGGTCAACTTTGAGAAGCAGCATAGTGAGAAATTTCCGGATCTTTGACCAGATTTATCCTAACACTAAGGGACCTATGAAGGACCACAAGTTTCAGGTCTCCACCATGTTGGACCTGTAGAGAAAGCTTGGCAAAGGTTGTGCCTTATATGTAATTCTAAGGGCCCTTTCCTTGTCAACACTAGGGGGATTGAATACCCGAAAAAGCAAATGTGCTTTTTCCGGAGAACTTTATTCACCGTGGCCCTGTTCACTGGGTGATCTCAGCAGTGGTAAAATGGCAGGAAGGATCACATCTGTACTGTGCTAGAAAGGTTTCTAAGCTGTGGTCCATGGCATATCGCTTACAATACTGAAGCACACCAGTGACTAGAGTCCTCTGTTCAAGTCTAGCTACACCCGCCACATTGGTAAGAACCACCAAAACTTGCTGTGGATGCTTGTAAGTTTTCCTGGAAATCCATTTCAAAGTGTGCAATCCCAAAATCTAGTCTGAATGCTGCTTGGGTGAATTTCAGGGGCTAAAATATAATTGTTTAACGTTCCTCTCTAATACAAGCTACTGGGATATTGCTTGTGAGGGGGTGGGGAAGCAGAAAGTCCACCATTTTGTAAAGAAAGTTGATTATCCAGATTCATGATGTGTTCATATAGATAGATCTGTGTAAATGTAGCTGCTGTGTAAACAGCACTTGTATTTTTTATAAACCTCCGATTATCTATCCTGTATTCTAAACATGCCAGAACTGATGAGCCTGGCTTAGATATACTGTAGGGAAAAGACATCAGCTATTTGTTTTTTAAAAATATATGTGTGTTTATAAGATATAAATGTGTACATATATGTATATATACATAAATATAAATGTTATGTATAAAATTTGTCAGTACTTAGTTTATAAATATATATATATCTAATCAACACAAAATATATGTATAAATGTTTTACGTTCATGTGTAGAAGGAAGGATTTTAAATTATAGGCCATTTCTCACAGATGTTGGAAGGGGTTTTTCCCGGTGAAAAAATATGTGTCAATTTTGAAAATGTTGTAATAAACACATCTTATCTCTAATATTCCATATACCGTCTATGTCATTTAAGTAATTTTTAATCTGTGGCTTTACCTCAGATTCATTGACTCTGTGAACTGTGCACTGTTGCATAATGTTGACCTGAGATTTTAACAGATGCTGTCCAGACAACAGAAAACTATGGATAATGACCCAAGCATGATTATGAATTACAGGGAACACTCTATGGAAAGGAAACATACACTATATCCAATTTGTTTTAGGCTGGGTTTTGATGGAGGAAGCATGTATGACCTGTGCTCTCTCCATCTCTGCTTTTCTGTTTCCTAAAGGCGGACCTTCTTCCTCCATCACTTAGTGGAATGTTCAAAGCCATCTTCCATTTGCAGCCTGCACTGTGATAATACCAAGTTGAGCCACATCTTTTTACTTTGCTCTATGAATTTCACCCAAAATGCTATGTAAGGTCCTTTGCTACAGGTGGCCATGTTGCACGTATGGACACCTGGGGAAGGAGCTTAACATAGAATGCTGCGGGGCGTGAGGGTACTCAGCATAGCTCCCTTCTTGCCTACTTAGTGAACTTTATCACATTTAATCATGCCTGAATAGATCTTTTGTAATAAGGCAACACTTATTATTACCCAATCCTGCAATCTGGTGCATTTACAAACCTTGTCATACATATAACATAGGTTTAGAGAGATAGATATTGTATTGTATTTTGCTGAGAGTGAAATCCAGAATATCGTAGCAGTAATACAGAGGAGATGAATGCCGGAAGTAGATGCCATTAAGAAATAAGCTGTGGCTTTACATGGTGCAGAGATGGGTGGCTGCCAGAAACAGCACATGGTGGGTACATGATGTGGAGGCGTGACGCATGCACTGTCCAAGAGGTTCCAGCTGGCAGGGTTTCATTATAACATTGGTGCCCACCTATTACGCATTACAGGCTGGGTCAGTTTACACATATTCTTATTATGACTGAGCTCTTCCAGTCAAGAACCCTTGGAAAATAGATGTTTGAAATTCATTTTTAAAACCAGAGAGAACCAGGAAATCAGTAGGGCTAACAGTATGATTCTATACATGCTTACTTAGAGGTAAACCATATTTAGATCAATGAGGCTTACTCTTGTGTACATAGAATTCTTCTGTTCATCAGTTTATTACAGATGGCTGTAATCATTCCCACATTGCATAATTGGTATGCTGACTGGGCAGCCTGGTCCATGCAGTTCTGCTTGTATCAATCATGTCCTAGCCTTAATAACCATATGAAACGCATTCTCTAAACTGATCCTCTAAAAGCATCCTCTGTGTTTATCCTACAGAGTTGCAGGTAGGGCCAGCCGGAACTATTTGGATGCTTGAGGCAATATCGTGTTAGTTGCTTCTCTATTTCATGTACAAAAGTATTTGACTCTTCCTCTAGCCCTGGCAATTGGGCACCCGAGGATGGTGGGCGGGCTGTATAGCCCCACATCTCACAGTTCTGCTGGCTTCTCATCACTTGTCTGGTCAAGGACAGCAGTGGTGATGCCAGCAAGCATCCCAGGAGCATTGGAGGCATACCCTGGGCTGTCTTGTGGCATTCTCAATAAGCAGGACCCCATCTCGCTCTGTGATGCAAAAGGAGAACGTGACTACATGGAACAAGCCAACTGTCTCAAGTCAGCAACCTGGAAGGATTGTCACCAGGGCACCAGCTTAAAAGAGCAGGGATGGATGAAGGAGACCTGATGAAGAACAGCCAAAAGGAGCTGCCACTGCCTCTCACCCCGACATCTTTCCATCTAATGCTATGGTTTATTCCATAGTAAGCAATCTGCAACTGAAGCAGCATTGGAAGGGGATTTTCTTGCCTCATTTCTACAAAAATTCACAAGTAGCCACTTCTGTGCATATCAATAGATGCCTTAAAAATGCTGATTCACAACTGAAGAGGGGGGTTTATATTTCAGAAAATAAATATCAACTAAAAGGTGATGAGTAACTTCGAGGGGTGGGGGTATTATATACGTGCAATGCTGAGGCACCATTATTTTACGAACTTGATTGAGCTCTGGTGAAATTGTTAAGCAAATGATATGCATTGCAGGCAGTGGAGATAGTTCCCATCTTTTCCATAATTATTGCTCAGCTGGAGTATATGCAAGTCTCTAGGAATCATTACACGCTGATATGAAAATGCTGCTTAAGTTTGGAGGGGAAGCTTGATACCAAAAATGGCTATTATCACTTCCTCACTAAGTTTTATTCTGAAAGCTCACTTCCTTTTGAAGAAAAAATACACACATTAAAAACCACATGAAGACACATTTTCAAAAGTAGATGTTTTAAAGAGAGATCAGACACATGTGCAGCAATGAAGATGAGTGTAATGCTTATTTTAAAAGATAATTGCAATGCTTATTGCTGGCACAGTCAAAAAATAACAAACTCCATGCCAACCTCCAGTTCTTAATGTTCATTTTAAAATTAGGAATTATTTATCTGTTACCGCAGTGTTATATAATTAAGAGCTCAACACCACAAAGGAACTCAATTTAAAACACAGTGGCAACCTAGAAAGGCAGAAAATCAATACATATTAGATCGGGCCCACTGACTTTTGTCATCTCAAATTCTAGCTGATCAATTTGAGCTGTCATTATGGTTTTGTCATTGTTAATGGATGTGTGCTGTTGTGCTGAAATACCCAGTCCTCATAAGCATTTTTTTTGTATTGCACACTGTATAAGTCCATGTCCTTTTGTGTGGTGGTGAGCTTATAAAAACAAGGGGTCTTCATGATACTGATAGATCCAGTATTGAATTATAAAATCAGGGTTATACTAATTTGATGTGTAACTGAATACAGAAGCTAGATGACATTCAATCTCTATAAACAGAGCTGAGCACAATAGAAATGCTTTTGTTATGATTTTGAATATGAAAGAATCTAAGAAAAGGGTGATCTACAAGGTTGAAGCTTCTTGTGTATTGCTGGAAGTCAGACAGCTTACATCACTTGCATATGCAAGGGTACTTTTCTAATATTTATTTCAAAACAAGGACTGGATTAAATGTCTTGTGGGAATGCCAGCTTTCAGAAATAACATTTCGTGTAATATAAACAACTTTGGTGGCAAGAATACCTTGAAAGGTGAAGGGATGTTTGCAGCTCTTTGGTTTTCAGTCTGTTAAACTTTTAAAAAATTGATTACTGCACAATAAGATCCCTTTAAAACTGGTTGCATTTGTGTGACTTCTTGACTTCCTGAACGATCATATAAAGAGTTTAATTCTTGCTTGATTGTGAATTCAACAAAAATTACCTGACCTAAAGATGGGTGGATGGCATGCCAAATGCCTTTACATTGCATTCAGGCACTTGAACCATTCAGTCAGGCTTCAAATTTTTAAAAACCTTTTCTTTGCCAATTGACTTGAAACTGAAACTGCAGAAAGATTTAAAAAAAAACCACCACACATTTCCTCCAGCAGCTGCCTGTTTTCTTGTGGATGTCCAACAGCATTGTTCACAGAAGCAAGGACTGATACCAGCGGAATCAGATAACATTCTGCATATCTCTAAGTTTGGGGGAAATAGAAACAGCAGTTTCATCCTTGCTCTCCTTGGTAGCCTTCTTGCTTTTTTTCTGTGTGTGGCTGCTGGGAAGGATGTAGTGTAACTTGGTATTGTCAACTGAACATAATACAGTTCAGGATCCAAATTAAAACCATTCAAAACTTCACCCACTGTGTTGCTTTAAATATTCACCAACACTGTTGCATACACTTCCAGTTAAATCTGAATCATGTAAATATTTTGGAGCTACAGTATTTCCAGTAAAAATGACAGGAAGCATTTTTATAGTTACCAAGATGTCCACCAAATGGTAGAGATCTGTTAGGAAATGAGTGGATCTACAAGCTGTGTGCACATGTGTGTGTAGAGGGTGACTAATGGCCAATTTCATCAGCTGTGCTCATCAAAGCACAAACCGTTTCCATTCACACCAAATAAGTCTGCAGTTTCCAGAGAGAGGAGGCTGCCATCTTCCTGTTCTACTCTGGATTACATCCAGCATTATGTGGACTTTCATTTCCAACTGTGTGACAAGACATGCCCTTGCTTTCCTCTCCCATGAAGCTCCCATGCCCCAAATTTACACTGCAGGGTCCCCAACCATTATAAATCCATTGAAAAATGCTCACCAGTTGCCCCTTCCTGAAAAGGATATTGGAGAGCTGGAAAGATACAAAAAGTCCATGTACAAAAGAAGCAACTTGAAATATATTCCTTATGGAAAAGACCCAGGATTGCCTTTAAATCAACTAAAGGTGGAACATGACAGAAATTTATAAAATCATGCACAGACTGGAGAAAATGGGTAGATAAATAGTTCTTTTCTCATCACACTAGAATTCATAGTCACCAAGCAATGGACTGGCAGGAGTTTAGGGCAAAGAAAACATATCTTCATATAATCCGTGAAGACTACAGTCTCTTCATAGTAAAGTGTTTCAATTGCTTGGCCATCATTGATACTTTGGTATTAGTGGGTTTCAGCCAGTGCTGACAATTTGCCTGAAAATGGAAACCACTGAATTTTTCCCGCTTCTCTGTCACCCACCCCCATCCCACATGTTCATGAGGAGCAAATTTGAGAGATTGATGGGAAGAGGAGAAGGTGAGGGTCACTGCATTACAATGCTGCCCATCTCTTTTTTTTTAATCTCTTTCCTAGTAATCCCTAGTGAAGGAGAATCACTTCAAATCTCACTGATGTCCAAGGAAGAGTTAAGCCTGTGTTTGACTTCTACAGAAGTCAACAGGACTTCAGTATGTAGTTCAAGAGTTCATGGATTCGATCTGTGAGCTCACTTGTCTTCCACTGAAAACTGATTCCTCACAGCATGAAAAACCTCAAGCCCAAATGGGTGCTCTGAATCCCTGGGATTCTTTCTAAGGTCCAGCTGGCAGGACTGTGTATACAAAAGCTTCTTTAAAAGGTAGCTATTCTGCCTGTCCTTTGTTCGGAAAGGGGGCTGGATATATTTCCCTCTACCCTTGCTAAAGAGTACAACCTCAGCTGCACTGGACTGGGGTCATTGCAAGCATATAAAAGAATATGTGTGTATTGCAATTTTTAATTTTCATTGTGACAGCTTTGGTTTTCTCATTCTGAAAATGTCTCATTTAGAAAGAGGAAGTAGGACATCTGCTGGTGAGGAATTGCAATGGGTGCTATCCAAATGGATAACAATTTCCCTCTTGCTGTGTGTTGAACGTCTCTGTCAATATCTACATATTTCAAATATGTAGTAAAGCTGCTCTGCCATCATGCGAAGTGTGTTGGCTCTCCCCTACTTTTTCTTCTTCTTTGAAGGTATCAGTGTTGTTGCTGAGTGCTGTCAGGTCATCTCCAACTCATGGCAACCGTATGAGCAGGTGCCGTCCATATTGCCTTGTCCTCGACAGTGGACTCAAGGCTGTGGCTCCCTTCCTGGAATCCAGCCATCTCATATCTGTTCTTTTTCTGCCTTCGACTTTCCCTAGCGTGATCGTCCACTCTGGTAAATCTGGCCATATGAAGATATGCCCAAGAGACCACAGCCTTGGTCTCATCACTTTAATTTCCAGGGCAAGCTCTGGCTTGATTTGATCTAGGACACACTTGTTCATCTTTCTGTCCACCCAGGATATCCATAAAGAAGGGATTATTACCTTTATAAAGTCTAAAGTCATTTATGCACATGGGTTATAGGGTCGTTTCTCATTAATCATTTTAAAGACTACTGCCAGGGCTCAAACCTGCTTTGAAGCAACAACTGCCCTGGTGACCTAGTCCCCAAGCCTCATGTCCTTAGACCAAGTAAACCTCTATCATCTGCAGTCCTACAGGCCATTAGCTACCCTCCACTGGGTTGCAGGATTTTGGAGAAATGCTGCTTTGTCAATGCAGAGAAACTCCATCAATGAGCTGGTTCCTGTGCCTCTGGAAGCCCCTGCTACGTCAGCAGAAATGTGTACCAGGGTAGATGTTCAAACAGCAGTGTGTCATGGAACAGGAGGAGGAAAAGGGGTATATTGGGAGTGGACAGAGGGAGGCCATGGCTCTGTCAAAACCGAACCACATCATGTCCCTGAAATAATTCCAGAGAAAGTGAAAAAGTATGTCAATCCTAGAGCTGGTGCACTTATGTCTCAAAGGGATGATAAGCCTTAAAAATGGGGGAAATGTGAAACACAAAAGCACGTGTGCGCACACACATTCTGCCCTTGCTGGTTTGACCTGAGCAAGCAAGAATGACATTGCTTGTTCAAGTCAAGCAATGGTCCCTTTGCCAGAGAGGATTTTTCTACATGAGAGGATTAATCCACCGCTTCACTGAGGCTTCATTGCAGGAGGAAAAAGTGAATCCTTTATATGGATTTTTTCATCCAGGGTTTGAGTTGCTCCATCTTTCTACATATTATGTGAACCACCACAAAGTGGTGCTGTAATATAGCTGTGCTATAGCACATTTGTGCCAAATGCAGGAAATTTTTGTTCTAGTTTAAAATGTAATACCTTATTATCCTCATTCTAAAGAGAAAAAAAGTGGAAATATGGCGGAGGCCTATAAAGTGGGTGGCAGGAAAAGGCACTGGAAATCTTCAGTCAAGAAAGAAGCAGAAAAAAAGCAGCAAGTACCACATCAGGACCACATTATATATGTCCTGAAAGACCCGCACAGGTTGCCAGATACTCTTCAGGCATGATTGCAGGTGTTGGTTTTAACCTTTAAAACCCCGAATAATTAGGTCTGAGCTATCAAAGGAACCACCTGTCTCACCAGAAACCTGCCAAGAAAACTCTTTCAGGGCACCTTTACCTTTTGTCAAGCTCATGTGAAAGGGAGTTTTCCATGTTCCCCCTCAAGAGCTTTAGAATCCTTCAAGAGCTTGGCCTTTAGAAATGATAAAATGAGTCAGTTTTTTTTTTAATGTGGCCTTTCCAAAATGTAGTTTTAAATAATCTTCTGCTTACTGTTTTGAGGTTTTCTTGTTTTAAATTGTTGTACACCAACTTGATGACTTTTTAGCAGGTAAGACCATATATTTATTTTAATAATAAAATAAGTTTGGGAAATTCTAAAACCAAGTCCATTTGTTTGAGTCCTCCAGAACTGGAAAAGACAGGGCCATCTATGAGACAGGATCCCCACCGCAGGGTTGACTCTGTCCATGGGGTTGTTGTGACAATTAAATGGAGAAGATTGTGTGTGTGTGTGTGTGTGTGGAAAATAGGTAAGAAATGATGATTGGGTGATGGGGCCTGACACAGTGACAGTTCGGCATGCCTGAGTTCCAGTGAAAAAAATGGGCATTAGGACAAGTTTTAGAGTGCATGAAGGAGTATATGACTTCAGTTTTGGAAATGGAATATAACATGCACTTGAAACATGATAATGTTTCTGAACTTACAGTCTGAAGACAGAAAAGGGTGAATGCAGAACTCAAGCAGCTAACTAGTGAAAGCATTCCTGCACTGGAAACATACTGAACAGAATCTAACACCAGCAAAAGTAATGTTGCACAGCCACGAGCTGGTGATGCAAATGCTACAAGGTTCAGTGTACAGTTCTCTGCCAAACCCTTGTGGAAAAGAGTGTACAAATTGAGAATGATGATTGACAGTAATTATGAAGAGCACTAATACTGCAATCCTATACCTGGGGATAAGCTCATTTGATTTCAGTTGACCCTATGAAGCACAATATTTTACTGCAGTATAATATTTAAGATTAGAAGATGCATAGAATAGCATGCCACACACATTCATTGTATTCATACCAAGATTCTGGAATTCATTAATTTATTTTGCATGTATGCATATATCTTTGGGTACCTCAGTCCTGAGATGCGGGGGGGGGGGGGGGGGCAGGGAGAAGAAGGCAATGCAAAATCTTTTTAAGTATACTGCACCAAACTGCACTGGTCACATCCTGGCTCATGCAGTATAAGTGGTAAACATACTGTGTCAGCCCTTCCATCGTATTAGTCCTATAATTGGAGGAGATGGTTGTAACGGTGGCCTCTCCACAGCCCACTGTATTTACTTTTTGAGCAGTGGTCCTTGTGTGTGTGCCTGGCCCTTTGCCCATATGCAGCACAGTAGCTCAGACAACTGCCCAGCACAGAGCTCTAGGGGCCTTCCCATATTTATGTTTTGATTGTGCAATATGAAAACCATGAAACTGCATCATTCGAGAAGGTGGGAAAAGCAACTTAAAATATTATAATTTTTGAATACATTTTAGAAAATCCATTGCTTATAGATCCATTTTTATCAATAGCATACTAGTTATTAAAAATAATTATGCATAAAGTTCAACAAAGGTACTCCAAATATCTGCATACTTTTCCATTTGCAGATTGCACCGAAAGGCCACCCATTCAAAAACTGGAAGTTTCATAAGCCTTCTGCCCATTGTGTTATTACAGGCACAAGTTTATCCTTCCAATGCTGTCATCTTAGTCTTTTAGCAGTCAAAAGGGCTCCACAGGCTTGATCTGCACAGTTCTTCCCTTCTCCCTCGGCAAAAATAGAGTATATTTCCAGGATCAGCACTACCCTGTCCCCATCCCTATATACACATGCTCCATAAAACCTCTTCAAAATGACACAAGAGAGCAGAGTACTACATTCCCTGCATTATCATCAAAATCAATATCCTTTACAGGCTAGAAAGGCTCAGGTTTTTTTTTCTTTTCTTCATTTTCTTTTGGCAAGCCTTTAACACTCTTGTATTCTTCTCTTGTGTGATTGTTGATTCTGATCAGAGGCATTCCAGTTTGGCATCTCTGGTGCTTTTAGCAGAAGAAAGACACACATCCAACAAAAGTTGGTGAAAACATATTCAACAATCTCGATGATTGTAATCATACTGGCTCCACAAAATAAACCGAGTTGACCGCCAACGTCAGCTGAAATGCAAGAAACAAACACTTCAGTCTGGCATTTCTATTTATTTTTTAAAGGCTGTGATTCTGTGCACCTTTACTTGTAAAGAAGTCTTTTTCAAAGTCTAAACAAATATACGATCTAAATCTAAACCAATTTATGTAGAACTGGGATGCTAGCCTTCATTCATGAGGTCACCTGCACAGTGTATTCCACTGTCTTCTATGTTGTTTATGATATGGAACAAAAATATGTACGATGGCCATTTCCTCCATATTTTAATGCTTTACACAATGAATTGGACCCTGTTCAAACTAGTCGCACCAGGACTAATTAAAATCAATGGCTAACCGATTTCAAGCACAACTAACTTGATATGGTTCCAACCTAAAGAAATACAAGAGCTGGTTCTTTTATTCCCAAGCAAATTGAAATTTAGAAACATCCACATAATAAATTACATATCCTGGCCTATCATGAACCAGCTTATGCTTATCTGAAAAACTGTAAGGATCCTTGAGGCAGCACAGTAACAATTATGCCAATGAACCAGAAATTCAGGGGTGGGTGGGGGGTGTTTGTTAGTTGGTGTTTAAATGTTAATTGAAGTTTACTTACCAAGCAACTCAGATACGCTCAGTGCCTTCTGCTGTTTAGTCATTTTGTAATTCAAATCATGATACTTAATGTCAATATATACAAGATTATTCCTGGAAATAGTAGACACTTTAATTAAATCATCATCATCAATCATAAGATATTATTTCAGCTGTTCCTATCTGTGTTTAGTTTAGTATTACATAGAAAACTAATATATTTTTGAGCAAAGCAAGCAAGGATTATATTCAAAGCTACAGTAGCAGAAACATTGCAAATGCTGGTAGTGTTCTGAACGTGGTTGTACAACCAGTAGCAAAACTAGAGCAATACTGCCATCGACACCGAGTTGTAATGAAGTCATAATGAATTGTGAACTACCTTTTGCAATTCCTGCTGCATCATTTGTGGAACAGCTTGTACAATGCCATCTGTAATGGCTTATACAACAGCTTGCAGAACCAGAGCCTAAGTATTGGATTTGAAACTTGTGCAACAACAACAGAATGTGTGCATGTGGTGGAAGTTAACACATGGCACCACTGGATACTACACAAAGTAACACAGATCCTAAGTTATAGAAAACAAGAAAATTGATAGCATACTTAGGTCCTTTAGCACCTTATGAAGTCAGTCTAACTGGTCTCTTACACACCTGTCATATGAGTGTAGATTTTTGCTCATGCAAAGGTTGTCAGTGCCAACAGATAGCCCAGACTTGTGCCTGGGAGTTGAATATTCAAATAGGCAGGAAGATTGTATCATGTTTTAAGGAAGGTGTGCTTAAGGTATACATCTGCAATTTTTTTCTTAGTATGCACAATGCATTGAATCCATGGGTGTCCTTCTCTGAATGGAAGACCCCCTTCCTTCTACAGAAGGCTTCTGATCCTGTGGAGCAGGGGGGTGATCATTGATCCTTCTCCCCATGCAGTCCACTATCCTTCCCCAAACTGATCTCCAAAAGGTTAGGGGACTCTCTGGAACATGGCAGCTGTCGTGGTGGAAGCTGCAAAGAAAAGGGAATCAGGAGATATTTCTTCCCACCTCCACTTTCCATCAGTGAGCTCATTCTGAGCAGAACTCATTTAAAGAAATGCTCCCACGGGCTGTAAAAAAAACCTGGATCTGAGCCAATACAATAACACAATTGAATTTGGCACTTTAATTCTGATCAATGGATTGTAGTTGATGCATTTTGTGTGCCAAAGACACCCTCTGGGGGCTAGATTGGCTGTCTAGATAAAGCAACATGGAAGAAGAGGGAAGGAAGCTGGAGGGCTATAGGCCATTAGCCTGCTCTTCCTGGTTCATCCCCTTAGTCTTTCTGGGGTCAATTTCTGATCTTTCCAGTTCTTTCCACTCTAGCACTGATGGGAACAGGTCTCCATGTCAGGGCGGGTCTATATAACCTTGGAGCTGAGACTCCAAATATTCTTATGACCCTTCCCAGACCATGCCAGGAGTTACTGAACCCTCAGTTAAAAACCTTGTTAGACAACACAAGATTGTCTCATATTTACTTACCTCTGAAAATGAAAGATTAATTGATGTGAACACTCCATTCTTCAAGAACATTCTCCTTTCTAAGCACTTTGGATTATAATTACCTTAATGATCTTGCTTACAGATCCCCTAGCTTAGGCTACCTGACATAACCGAGATACTACTATTATACATCTTTGGCATAACGCTGTAAATAGTTGTGTCTACCCTTTACATTTTTGAAAAATGAGTTGACACTAGCAAGCAGTTTATGATGTACACTCACTAATATGTTTGCTTGGTTCCTATTGGCTACTCACTTGGGAACAGAGAGATTTTCCTGTAATCTGCTATGCTTCACTGAGTAAATTACTAGATAGCACCCCATTTGAGAACAATAACTGCAGCATTTCCATTCTTAGTTAAAAGCTATTTCAATTTTGATCAGAGCAGTGGCTCTGGGTGGGACCCCGCCCCCCACATCACTTCTTTTACAACCTAAATCTTCCCATACCAAAGCTACCACGTTCCCCTGAGAGGGAAAAACATATATAGCTACCTGTACAGTTACTTCATTCCCACCCCAGTAGAACAAATATGTTTGTTGGGAGGAAGTCTGGTCCCTGTGTAGCAGCTATCTTTTCAAATGTGTACTTCACAGTGCTCCCAGGGTCCCCAGTCTGGATTTGAACCCTAGTGGGGCAGATACGAGGCTTTTAAGATCTGGATGAGTTTGCTACAACTATTTAAGTGTTTAAAAAGACAGATTATAGAAACAGATACAAAGTTATGTCTGTTTTGGCCAAATGGGAAAAATAGAACAGGAGGAAAGCGTTAACTCCTTCACCCTTTCCCAGCTCTAATAATAAAAACTGAGCCTTCTACAATTGCTATACAGCAATATTAGAAAACTTGGGAGCTAAGATCCTCTACTTCTCATGTAATTTGGCCCATATGATATCATCAGTAATAAAAATGCTGTTAGGCCTGACATTAATCTGAGAGCTTTTCAAGGATAATCAAGTTCTAAAATCTAAATCTAAAATAAGGGTGGTGGTGTAGGAACTGTAAAAATCTCACTCGCACTTCAAAATAGAGATTTTGCAAGTAATTCTCCGGTTTGTGGACTTGGAGGTTAACAAAGTGATCAAATGTTTGTGGCATGCAGCAAGATCTATTATCACGAATAATCTGATAAGAAAGAGCAGATTCCCTGAACAAAGACTTGAGCAAAGAATTTATACTTCTATTAGGGTCGTATAGCAGGAATGCACCGCAAACATATATATTTGATCCTAATGCATCCAAAGAAATAGCTACATATTATAATGCAACAGAAACTTCTCATGTATCCTCGTTCTCTGCTCTTCCTGCTGAAGTGATGCCTGGTAGAGGAATCTTCTAAAGTTTTCCTCCCTATGCATGCATACTTCCTAAAGTTCAGTTTATTTGCCTTTTTGTTTTACTCTTGCAGTGCTCCGCTAGCTTTCTGTTTATCTCCCACAGTGGCCAACCTGTAGCTCTTGGTCACAACTCTCATGAACCCTAGCCAGTATATGGGTGATCTGAGCCAAAACACTTGGAAGGCCACAAATTTACCACTCTTGACTTATGGGGTTCTCATCTATAGAAGAGCAACGCTTGTGTACCATATGCAACAAAACCCCCTTGTGTCAGCTTAAGTTGGTCATGCTTACAAGAGGCCTGAACCAGATCAGAAAGAAGCAGAAGGAGAAAGAGTTCAACATTAAGCCAGCCATGCTCATGGGCCTGCCCACCAGGATATGTGGACCGGCCATAGCAAGACAGGCGAGTTTTTATAATTGAGAGTGAAGGGCTGGTGAGAGTGGATGTTTGCATTGGCCTGGCAAGACTGAAGAAAACATGCAAGAGCTCCATACTCCTGTTTAATTGCAAAGGTGACCAATTTGTGGCCCTTCAAATGTCTTGACTTACAAGCCACCATTGAACTGCATGCCTCACCATGGGCTATTCAATCCTGTTCTGCAGGCATCAACTTTACAAAACACTCTTTTATGAAAGTAGGACAATGGCCCAGGCAGGGGATTACAGAGGATCTGCGGCAGTAGTCTGTTAGCACTAAAAGTCTCAGAGACATTTCTCCAAAGAGTTTAAGAGCCTGAAATATGTGGCAAGAGCAAAAAGCCCTTGAAATGTTTTGCCTGGAGACTCATCAGCAAACTGATACCTCATATAAATATTTTAAGCCAATTTTTTGTGCAAAATGGAAAAACCCAGCTATGTATGCTTTAAAGTCTTACAGATATTTCCCTCTATCCGTTTCCAGGGCTGGCAAAGCTCTACACATGCCTAGTAAATTCAGGCTGGAATTCTATACGTACTGCCTTGGGAGCAATCCCATCACATACAGTAAGTAAATATGTATAAGAATTGCACTATAATTATTTTGTGATCCTATATTCATGTAGCATATCTAGGGTAAGCTCTTTGCAAATGTACAGTCCTTTGCAAGCCCCAAAACTCCGAGCATCTTATGTGTATCTTAAACATGCATGGCACTGCACCCAAATTTAGCTCAAATTTAAATGCTATACAGACCAAAATAGGTGTGCTCTTACACTAGACTAATAGGCCTCTTGGGAATGACTGCTGGTACTTTCAGACATTTTAGTGGTGGTTGTTCACATGCATATGAAAATAATTTACCAGTATTTACAATAGGTCCACTGCAATCAATTAGGATTCACTTAAATTCAGTTATTTTCACTTGTGGGTCTACTCTGCATATAACTAAATCTTGAACCAGCCCATTGTTTGACCCCATAAGGATTAAGAATAAAAGTACCTGATATAGTCTGAACTTTTCTTCAGCTTTGTGGAAAGAAATTTCAAAGATTTTTCACTTGCAAATGTTGAATAGGAGATAGTAGTTGGATAATCTGTTTCCTCACAAGGTACTGGACAAGTAGAATTATATGTTCCTACTGAACATGATCCCATGATTTCCATGTTATCTAAAATGTGAAACAATTTGATAAATAAATGCCTGCTCAAGGCCCCTTGGACTTTTTTTCTCCCTTCACAAAGAATGTTAATGATATCAGTAAGAACTTGGCTCTAATAAATCTCCTCAAAACACAGATTTAATAAAGCATATTAAAGCATTCTTTTTTTAAAAGCTGAATATATATCAACAACCTTACATAAGGAAAGTGATAAATCACAGGATGAGTGAACAAAGCACCTGTTTTTCTCACTGAATTATCTAAAGTCTCTGGAACTTTGGGAATCAAAGCCAAATCATGCAGTGGGTGAAACAATAAATCTAGAAACAATCAGATGGGGTTAGTTATAGTTCATCTAGAACAGCTTTCCCCAACTTGGTACTCTTCAGATAGGCTGGACTTCAACTCCCATTATTTCAGACATGGTAGAAATTATAGACTGATACATCTGGGGGGCACTTGGTTGGAGCATTGAAAATATTCTGGAAAGCCAAGCCCCTTCCTCTCTGCAGGCACCACCCACCCATCCAGACTTGTTCCACTTCGCTTCCCACAGCAGCACATATCAGGCTCTGCTTAACTGCTAGCCTAAGCCTGCCTGACCCGCTCTCACTCGCAGATGCTGCTCTGAGACTCCGCACATTGGGGAGAGCCTTGTGCTACATTCCAGCTCTTCACCCCACTAGTGCGCAGTAGGAACTAAACAAGGGAGCCAGCTAATAAATCCAGCGGCTCAACCATGGTAGGCATTCCCACTGCAACATGACGACCGGGCCGTGTGGAAACTGTGCTCGTGCCAAATTGGTGGCCTCAAACTGTCTGTTTTCTTCCGGGTAATTTTGTTTGGTTTTACTCACACAGCGTAGGAGACACGCAATTGTAGAATTTTTCCAAGTCACATTCTGGGCCATTTCCTTTTCAACAGGTATGCAGAAGTGCGGATTAGAGTGAGAAAAAGAAAGACAAACTTATAAAAAACACACGTTTGAGGCTACCTCTTCACTAATCTAACTGTTTGGTGAGAAAATGATTACTCTGGTTCAGTAATTTTACTTTAATTTCTATTCATAATGCCTTAGTTTGAAGGCAGTATGTGACATCACTATCTCATCACAAAAAGTTGTCCAAAATGATGCCCACTTGGCTTAAAACACATTAAACATTTTAGCCTGAGCTAGGGGTGATGGATCTATTTAATCTATCCCATCTATGTTTCACAGATTGTTGGCCCTCTTCGGCGAATGGGGCGGCATAAAAATGTTTTAATAAATAAACAAACAAACAAACAAACCTTGCTTTGTGTCACTGGTACCTTGACGGAACTAGGTATTTTGAAAAAGAATTTATTTGAAAAAGCACATTTGTGCACTTGGGCAAATCCCTCCTTCAAAGTAAAAATTTGGTTTGTAAGTCTGCAAAATCCATACAACTCAGGAAAAAAAAAAATTCAATACAGAAGCCATGGGTCAGGACCATAGAAATTCACACATTTGAATCCATTGCAGATATCTCTAGCATCCCTTGCCTGAGCCATATAAGTATATTTCATTTAGAAACATCCCAAGCAAAGGGCTTCTTCTTCAGTTTTGACTTCTTTATGGTGCCATTTCCTAAGTGTGGTGTTCAGTTTGCTGATGGAAGGCATCAGCAAAATAATTTTCAAAATGTTTCCCCCTCTAAACTTCTAGGCATAAACCATCAGCTCTGGAGGGCTGAGCTGCCTTTGGAAGAGTATTGGAAATGGCACACAATGAATATGGTGTTCTTTTCAGCAGTTTCCCCTTATGTATATTTATAATCTATACTTTGCAAAGTTGAGAAGCATCTGTTTGCATTTTAGTTTGCAAGTGGGAGCATTTCCAGAGAAGAGTAACCAGGATTATAAGAGAAAGTTATAGAAACCAAGTTTTATGAAGAAAGAGTATATTTAGCTAGAAGAAAAGAGGGCATGTAATTAATTAATTGCATTTCCCTTTACTTTCCAATAACTAAAAAGCTCTGGGCAGTATACATGCCAGCAATCTTCAAATATCTGTATGGCTGTCTTGCAGAAGCAGGAGCAGTTTGTTCTGTGTTCCTTCCAAGGGCAGGACTAGAATGAATGTGTGGAAATTCCAGGAAAGCAAATTTCAGCCAGATGTAAAGAGAGGCCACCATCTCACTGAATTTCTTTGAATACCCTTTGCCAAACAAGTCCAGCCTCCATCAAGCCATACCTGGTAACAGGAATGGCAAGCATCCACACTGCTGTAGTATATGCTGTGCCTTGCATTCTTGGAGACATCCATAGGTGCTATAACTCTCGTGGTGCTTAAGCTTGATGTTTGGGTTGCATTGTCCCCAAGGGTGTTCCTGGACAATTGTCTTGAAGGAAAAGAAGTGGGAGACCCGTTATGTTTTTAGAAAACAATATTCTTGGGATGTTCAAGGAAGCCTGCAGACAAATAGTACACAAGAATGTTTGCTGCTAAACCAAACAAATTACTGCAAAGTCTCTCAATGGATCTCCTTGCAGGCCTGCCAGCCCCTGCAGGACAGCTTGGGCCACCCTGCATTCATCTTCTGAAAAGCAAACTGCAATTGCTTTGATTCAAGGTGTTTGCTTAGACATGCACCTGATTGTGGATTGAGTCCTTTTTAAAACAACTGGGAAAGCTATTCTATGTAGGAAAATCTGAGAATATGCTGGATAGGGTGAAGAAATGTCTATCCTATGGGGGTCCCAGAAAGGAGTGCCTTTTCACCAGACCCCACCTCATTTCCCCCAAGCACTGAAGCATTGGGTGGTTCCTAGTTTTGCGTAGTTCTAAAAGGTTGAAAAGTATCACCTAAGGCTCCATTGGCAGCAAGAATATAGTAGGATTTATTACTTGGCCCACCTCTGTTTCCCTCTGGTCTGACCCATCACTGAAATGAGGCCACCAAGAGATTATCTGAAATAGAACTAGAGCCTTGAGCTGAAAGAGTTTCTTTTCCCCTTCCCTGGAGTTTTGCACATAGAACAGAAAACTGAATTGGAATCCTACCTTAATCTAATTGCCCACCCCTTGCTTTTTGTTTGTTTATTTGTCTGTTTTGTTATTTCCCCTCCTGACTTTAAAATCATCTATCGTCAAGGAATACTTTGATGTAATAATGTAAATTGAATAATTGACAATGACCTCCTAAGGCTGCACTCTCAGAAGTAAGGTGATCTGATTTCAGTTGGACTTGCTCCTTTTCAGCAGTATCCTACATGCTACTATGAAAAGCACCACTGCTGAAGCCTCTGACACATTCACAGCCCTGCCACTTTGAGCCCAGCAGGGTAGAAGGGAAGTTCTGTCTGAATCAGGGTATGCTTGTGCATCTGTATGTCTCCATCTCCATTTCACCTCCAGCAATGGGAATAACGTCATCCTGAGCTGGTGTTCATTTCCCCCTGCTGGGGACATGGCTGGGGAGTCCCCGATCCACTCATGGTACATTCCTGACCCTCTCTTTTTCCTCCTTCCACTGCTGGAGCCCAAATGCTGCCATGGAAGAAAGGGCTGCAGATGTTACCACAGAGACTGGGAATGGGAAGACCCAAGGAAGGCTTTCCATCCAAGGGTGGACCAGCCTTCCATCTCTTGAAGGATAAAATCCAAAAAATCCAAGAAACCCTAGGAAACCTTTCCAGGAAACATAGGACTATAGCCTGATACTTTAAGCTGCCACACAGATCAGCAAATATGGTGCTGCTGGTGATGATCAGGGGACTTAAGTGGTGAGAATTTTGCTCACTGAATGGTTGGTAAATAAAAGACAGAAAGATGCTCACTCCTATTTTTTCACATCTTGAAGTGGAAGCTTACCTTCACCTGTTGGATAGCAGCATGAGCATGCATCCCTACTGGTGTGGATACACCTAAACCATCAAATCGGGGAGGTGCTTTTGGTGAATGGATGGCAAAGGTTATGCCAGCATCAACAAAACCAAGAGTAGGGTCATCAGTAAACATGCTCTGGTAGAAAAAAGCATTAAAGAGATACAGTTGAATACTCTGGATAAACTCTCTGCCTGTTTCAAAGGAGTAGTCCCAGTGAACGTTGAATTGCTTCACTGTGCCACGTTGCTTACAGTTCTCCAAAAACTACTTCCATTATTTAACCCCAGTTGCATTTCGTTAACAGAAAGCCATGTTTCCTGAAAGAGGCAAAATGCTCCCCATCAATGCCAAGAAGCAGTGTCCATCCTACTACTGTTGCTATTAAGGAAGTACCTTATGGGTTGATCATAAAAGGTCATTTTTCTCTCCTTTCCTTTTGCCCTCTACTCCTTGGTGGGGCAAATAATTAACAGAGAGGCATAGGTATAACAGTTAATTAGTCCTTTCTAGAGTTAAGCATCAGTGATGGATGGCCACATGGGCTGTGTTTATTGCTTTTTGACTTATATGACAAAACTATTGAAGTGACTAGAGCTGACATCTAGAAATACAGTTTCGGTTGAAGGAGTGTCTTTCAAGAAACACTGAAGCTTTCACAGAATTCAGACTTCCATAAATTTGAATGGTGACACTATAAATAACACTGCACTCAGCATGTCAAATAATACTCCAGCCCAAAAGGAAATGAATGGCCTGAGCCATTGCTGCCTTATTGGTTTTCTTGCGTTATTATGTTGTGAAGCACAAGTGGGCATCCTGTGATCTGACGTATTCCAGCTGGGGACCTCTGAAGCTTTTAGCAGAAGTCACACATCCCAAAGAAGTTGGTGGAAATATAGTCAACCATTTCTGTGACTGCAATTATATTGGTATCACAAACCAAACCAAACCAAACCGACCACCAATAGTTGTAAAGAAAGGAACAATGCAATTGAGAATGGAAATATGAGTTATGGCCACATTCCTCTCATGCTTTCATTCATACCTTATGAGTTGAACCCTGGGAAAGTTAGTTGTACCATGGCCCATTGAGGAGCATCCTATCCTGGTGTTGGAGCAAGAGGAGCTTAACATTGCTGAAAGAAACATGGAAGTGAGCAGAAATGCTTGCTTCCAAATCAGAGCAAATTGGTGAAGTTCCTTTATGGGAATGTGGCTGATCCATCTCATGCCAGAAATAAGTGCTGCTGCTCATTTTCTATTGCTTCAGGAACCACTCTTTCTTTCTGTGTTTGCTGTGCATTCCGCTAGCATGGGGTGCAGTATAGGATTGTACCCTTTGAAATCAAGAAGAGACTTAATCCCCAGTGCAACTTACTTGCCCGGGAGCCAACCCAAGCTAATACACAAGTTGACTCTTTCAACTGTAGGTAGGATTTCGTCCCGACAGGGAATGATTTGCTCTGCAGAGAATTCCTCACTGTTCTTAAATCCAATGGCATCCACACATGTTGACCAATTTTCCAGTGGAGTTAATGTTGTTCAAGGGTCTGCAAACATATTCAATTTTCTCCATATCCCAGAGATAAATTTGCATTATTGCCAGAGATGCTTTAAATCTTTCTAATGGTAAAGATACCATTAATAGAAAAAACCCACACATTTTCTAACAGGCAAAGTGTTCCTAAGTCAGGAAAACAAGCAAGCCTCGTCCGCCCTGCTGTTCTGAAACAGGTGCCCTTTGGCTCTACCATCATTTTCCTGTCCTCTCCTTTTGACCTCTCTTCTGTGGGTGCAGCAAATGATTAACTGGGAAGTGTAAGAATCATAGTTGGTGCTTTCTGGAATAACCTTTACTGTCTGACAACCAGAGACTCAGTGTTTATTGCTTCTGCCCTGGGTGGCCTCACCATTGACGTGATCAAAGTGAACACAGAAATACTGCTACTGTTAAGGGACTGCCTTCCAAGAAACACAGACATTTTTACAGAATTCAGACTTCCATATATTTGAACTGGAGCTCTATCAATGACACTCTTTTTGGCATGTTGGCTTGAAGTACATATAAAACAACAGCCCCAGAGGAAATGAATGGCCCAAGCCATTACTATCTCCCCAGACTTCTTGCTTTCATGTGCTGTAGAGCAATGGTGGGCAACACGTAGCCCCCATAGGTTTTATCCTACAGCTCCCTCTCTCTCTCAGCATTGCTGTTTCTGGCTGGGGCTGTGACAGCTGAAGCGTCTTAGGGGGCCACAATTTGCCCACCCCACTCTAGTGAAATTCCACTTGCCTTGCACTGCATAAATTCTGTACTTTGAAATGTAACTTTATCACCCCAGGGTTATTAAACAGGAGGATTGGAGAGAAGGGGGAATTTAGGCCATATTTTTTAGTGTCCAAGATGTGTGGTGAGTCTTCCATGAATATGAAACACTGCCACAATATGAGTCACATGCACTGATTTCTCTATAGAATGAATAGAAAGAGGCTGCTATTAAGGTTATTGTTCTCTCCTATCTTCTGTGAATTGCTCCTGTGAGAGGAAAAATACAAAATGTCTCCGTACACTCCAAAGTGAAAAATAGACCCTTCGGTTTAAAGGAACAGAAGCTCAAGGAAAGGCTCTCCAAAGAGAGAGAAAGAGAGAAGAGAAATTGCCAAATCCCCATTTTGTTGTTTTCAATTTGGAAAGAAGGAACTATTTTCAGATACCCCATCCATACTGAGAGTAGCATATATGCCAGCCTGAATAGCTTTAATGCAGCTTTTTTTTTGGCTACAAATTTTGGCAAATGCAGAAGCTAAACATCTTGCTGTGAAGGATTCACTTGTTAAGAAGAGTAAGCTGTCTAGCAATATTTTTAGAAACATATCCCTAGATTGCAAGGCTAATTGAAGTGGTGCTGCTTGTGTATATAAATACATGTACATTGTGCAAGAGGAATATTTAAGCTTGTCACCTCTCATGGCCTAGGACTATGAACCCTGGCGCATGGGTCCTCAAACTACGGCCCATGGACTGGATCCGGCCTGCCATCCCCATTGATCCGGCCCACCATAGCTCGCCACACGTGTGCGCGCATGTGTGCGCATGTGGCAATGTGTCGGCTTACTTGCAAGGAGATTGTTTTGGACTCGCTCGGAGAAAAAGATCTCTGTGCACACATGCCCTTGCCTTTCTGCATGCACGCACTCATGCCCCCCTCCCACCCGGCCCGTGCCCCCTGCCCGCATCGCCTTGGCGGCCTGCGCCCATCCCTGGCACCTTTCAACTGGCCCTCTATGCAAAACTCCTTCTCTGGTGGCTGAATCATCAGGCAACAGCGCTTTGGAGGAGATGGGCTTGTTCTCCCAGACCTTCCTGAGTAGGGCCCTGTGCCCTAAATCTTGCACCCCATACACCGACCCTGGGGAAGTACTGTTACCATCCGACTCCAAGGAACAGCAAGATCCTGAGAAGCATTCTTTGATCAAGACAGCACAACTCCAAAGAGGGAAAACCAAGCTCTGCATCAAAAGCCACTGGTCCTTTTAGATGGACAGCTGCTATACAAGAGCAGGTGGAGCATTCACAGTGGCTGTCTTGGCAATGATTATTAGAATTAGAAATACAGCATGTCTTATTGTAGCTGTTCTTCATAATAGGGAAGAGGAGTCGAGTGAACTGTGTGGCTGCTGTTCAGATGTTAACTAGTGATGAAGAATTCCAAAGCTCTTGCTCTTTCTTAGGATTCTCCTCTGTCATGTAAGATATATGGCTACCCTACCATCTGGCAGCTGGCTGTGATGCTAATCCTCTTTTGCCATCCTTGCTCAAGGAGAGCACACATATTTTTAAATGTGAGCATACAAGTATAAGGGAAAAAGATCTTGCACCATTATGGTCACCCACAGGCTCTGTTCTTCTTCATCAAATTTCCATTGACACATTTCAGAATTATTTTGAATACATGGTAAATAAGGTGATATTTATACCTGCTTGACATCAAATAGCAAACTCAAGCCCCTTCCAGAGACAGTCACTCTTCTTTTGGCTGGAATGTTAATATGATTGAAAGTAAAGCAGTTTCCATATTCAGTGAAGACATGTTCGAAGTCCTTTAATGCAGAAAGCAAGAGAAAGGTTGAATTAATGTGTTCATAGAGCATTGGAGCCATTCGGATAGTGGAGAAGGAACACAAGGAACTGCAGCTCTGACCCTCCACTCCCCCTGCCCCAGCTGCCAGCTTCTGTAATGAGCCAGCTGTTTCCTGCTTAAGGCTAAGGTGGAAAATTACTTAGTGTTCTTAAACAACTGAGAGATACTAACCTCTCTCTTATCTTTAAGAATTGCTTACATTCTTGGTCATGACAGATTTGCATGGAGGAAGCAAAAGAATTAGGAAACTGATCAAGCACTTCCTTTGATGGAGTCCCTACTGTTTAAATGGTTACATGTCTTTGCAGGATTGCCAGCATCTCTGGTTGACGTTTAAGATTTTACAGCTACCACATGGGTTCAGTTTCAGTTGTTGAGGTCTGACGGTGTGGATAAGGTTACTTGTGGCAATGTGACTAACCATGGTACCTCTCAATCCTGGCAATTACTGGGGAATAAGAACCAGCCAGATGGGCATTGACTTGCTGTGTCTAGGGAGCCATTAAAAACAATCCCTAGGTGAAGGTGATGCTTCCTGTCTTGTTTAGGAAGGCAGTAGAATGATTCATTCTGAGGACCCTCTCTGGACCCAAAGCATTTGACAGATATCACCCGGTTGTGAACACCCTTTTCTTGAGGAAAGAGGTCATGAGACAGTCATGGCAGAGCAAGTGAAAGGATTCTTAGAGGATATTATTTATCTGGATCAATTTTGAGCTGGGTCCTGGCCTGGTGATGGGACACAAGCAGACTTGGTCATCTGATGGATTATCATTACTAAGAGATGGACATGGAAACGTGATGCTTGTTAATTCTGCTCGATCCTTCATTGGGCTTGGACACCATCAAAAACAGCATCTTCTTGGACTGACTTCATGACAGGTTTCCAGGGGACATTCCCAGAGGGTTGCAGTCCGGCATTATTCAAAGGGAGGGTTCTTGGAAATAGTTTCTAGTTTGGGTTTAATGAACTGCTCTGTGCATGCTCAGAGACCTTTCTTTGCAGGCTATATCATGCAGGATATACATTGGAAATAAAAAGTCTTTGTCAAAGGATGGTCTGTTGTTTGAAAGAGAAGCGGGGAGTCGAAGCACATGCATTATGGAGGATGCAACATGAGGACATTATTTCATATAATAATATATTGAGAACAAAAAGTGCATTCCCTCATAAGGGATAATGGATGTATTGTTCCAGTATCATTCTAAATGTTTATGACCCTTCCAGTGCCCCCATTCACATTCCCACAAACTACAATATCTACATTTTCTCTTGCAATAAACATATTACCTTTGGGTAACATGGCTTCCCAAAATATTCACAATTCAGCAATGTGTTGTTGTTGAGAAAGAAGCCATTATTCCTTGTAAATTCTTTGATGCTAAAATTTTGATTTCCACGAAGAAAATAATGTAACTCCTGGCCAAACTTTTCTCCAATATCAAACATATGAAGGACTCCAGATACGATGCTCCACAGGAAGAAAATGATGCTTAGGTTAGCTACTGCTTCAGTTTGGAACCTGTCAGCACAAACCAGAAATGCAGAGTCAATTGTGGTGTTCTTGGCCATGGCCCTAAGGCAGCTCCCAAGATACATGAAAACAATGCTTTTAGGGGCCATTGCATATCTGGCACCATCAGTGCATTGTACATAAGTTATATGGAAGACTAATGCACATACTCTTAATATTTATTTATTTATTTATTTATTAGAATATTTCTATGCCACCCCTTGCCGAAGCCTCGGGGCAGCTTACAACACAATAAAATACAATAAAATACAATAAAATACAAAAATAACAATATAAAATTAAAATTAACAATATAAAATAAATATAAAATATAAAATATAAAAGAAGTCGTCCTGGCCAGATAGATAAGCAAATATTGTTAACAATTAAAATGATGTTTAAATATTGGCACAGAGAAATGAAAGGTCCCTTACCTGTTCAGATTACAAAATGTTACAGCAGGAAATTCAATTTTTTCCACGTACTGAACTACTACTGAAGTTGTGGTGGGCCAGCTGAAATAATTGATGAAGCGATTACAAATTTGCCAGGCAACAAGGACGATGGAGCCCATGACAACTAACATCCATAGTGCCTTACGCATCTTGCTCTTGGTACGAACAATATTGTGCACCCCGTGGAATGAAGTGGAAGTTGCAAATTCATAATCATACTTCTTCCTTTCTTCCAGTGATGGCAGTGGTTTCCTTGTTAAACCGAGCCTGACTTTTTCCAAAAATCCTTAACATTTGATAAGAAGAAAAATTATTGGCAAATAGGTTTCCTACAAAACCAAATGAAAAGACTCCTTCAGGGTAGATTCTAAATAATCTAGAACACTATCTCTTTACTAATATCAGCTCATACAGTAATATTACCAGATTTTTTCTTCTATTTCTACAAGTGTTTACATACTGACGCATGTCTCTCAATCACATATAAAGTTCAAACAAACAGTCTCAAGGGAAGATGTCTGGACCTCATGCAAAAAAATAGCAACAAATGAGCATCTATTGTGCAAAAAGACTGTGTCCTTCCAGAAGATTATCTCGTGATAGTCTAGTAGATTTAAAACATGATAAATAGCACTAAAGAAGTAGCATATTTTCCTACTACTCCTGTTACTTTAAAGTGTACAACCTCATATCATTGTGTGCTTCTGGTGTGCATAGTCCAGTCTTATGCATGATTAGTCAGACATAAGTTCCACTGAGTAGATCAGAGCATCTCAGTGGTATGTCTAGAACCGTCCCCATGGTCTATTTTACCTACAAATTGTGTGCAAAGGATTCATACATTCAGTATTTTCATTTTGTCAATAGATAATTAATAAATGCAGAACTATTGTATCTAGAATAGTATCATTTAAAACAAAGAAAAAGAAAAACTAACTCATTGTAAAAGCTATTGTTACGTACCTCTGCCATTAAATCCATTTAATTTTCTAAGTTTCTCCATTGGGCATATATGAGAAGATTGAAAAACAGAACTGGCTGCTAATTGCTTTTATAAAATAAGGAAAGGGGTGGGGATTATATTAAATACACATCAAGGAGGCAATTTGCCTGCCTGTGTTGCTATACTCTCAGCTTTTTTTACAAAGTAAATAACTAGATAAAACACACTTGTTTAACTATACATAACGCCTTGCAGATAAAAGTGGAGAGCTGCTAGAACTGAAAACTAATCAAGCCATTAAGAGCATAGGAAGAACCCTGTGGGATCAGACCAAGGGTCCATCTGGTCCAGCCTTCTCTTCATAGGGATGCCAGCCAGCCGCCCATGGGATGCCACAAGTGGGATAGAAATGCATCAGCACCCTCCCACCCAAGTTTCTCAGCAGCTGCTGTACACAGACATAGCGTCTCTGATAATGGAGGGAGCATATATCTGCCAGGACTAATAGCCTTCTCCATGAATTTGTCCAATTTCTTCTTCAAGCCATTCGGTGGAGTGACTGTGGATTCATCCATACTGTGGAAGTGAATTCCATGGTTGAACTATATGCTGTGTGATTCTTCCTTTTACCTGTCCTGACTCTCCCACCACTCAGCTTCATGAGTTGACATCAAATTCTAGTATTATGAGAGAGGTAGAAAAGTGTCTTTCTATCAATTTTCTCCACAACATGATGTTGCAATGTACCATCAAATCATTTCCAACTTATGGTGACCCTATGAAGGAGTCTCCTTCAAAATGTCCTGTCATTGATAGCCCTGCCCAACTCTTATACATTCAACTCCTTGGTGGAGTCAATCCATCTCATATTTGGTCTTCCTTTTCTTCTTATGTCTTCAACTTTCTCTATCATTGACTGTCTTCTCCAGTGAATCTTGTCTTGTCCTGATGTACCCAAAGTATGACAGATTCAGATTTGTCAAGTTTGCTTCTAGGGAATGTTCTAGCTTGATTTGATCTAGGATCCACTTGTTTGTTCTCCACATCATGCACCTATATTAGGTCTCTCTTTACTCATCCTTTATTTCTCTAAGCTAAACAATCTCAGCTGTTGAAACCTTTCCTCACAGGGGAGTTGTTCCAGCTCCTTGATCATTTTAGTTGCCCTTTTCTGCACTCTATGCAACTCCACAATATCCATGTTTAGGTACCGTGACCAGAGCTGTACACAGTATTCTGAGAGTGCAGCATCATAGCTTTGTATACAGACAGCATGATCTTGGCTGTTTTATTCTCAATGACTTCCTAATCATGCCTAACGTGACGTTTTCCTCGACCTGTTCACCACTACTTCAAGATCTCTTTCTTGGTCAATCACTACCATCTGCGAACCCATCAGCTTCTACACGAAGTTGGATTTTTGGTCCTAAAGTGGATCACTTTCCACTTGTTTACACTGAATCACACTTGCAATTTTGATGTTCATTTTCTCAGTTTGGAGAGATTATTTGGGACTGCCTCACCATCTGTTTGTCTTAAATCTTTTGTCAGACAAGTGGGAGGGACAAAAGTGGAGTCCTGCACTGAGCAGGGGCTTGAACCTGATGCCCTGTGGTCTTTCCAACACTAGCACTGTACAATTCTATGAAACACAGATAAATATAATTTGTATAAATAATTAATAATAACCATCCTAAATAATTTGGTATCATTAGCAAACTCGGGCACTTCACTATTCATGCCTAATCCCAGGTCAGTTCCCAAAGTGTCAGGCCAGTATGAAATGGGGGTAGTTTATGTGAAACTGGGCTTTTCTGCTCAGCCAGCAGGACTTTTAAAATTTCACTTTCTCTCTTTTAACATCTGACCACCATGATAAATTCCTCATAATTGTATAACATGGGGACAAATGTTTCTGTGAACAGGGCCAGCTTCACATGCTGACTGCCACTGTGTGAAAGCACAGAGTTTGGGATGGAATTAGCAGCTGTAAATAAGTGTGTATCTGCAAAGAGTGGACCAGTCATTCATACATTACAGACTTGAGTTGCATGCATCATTGGGTTTTGAACAGGAGGAGGAGGAGAGGCAGGACAAGGGGGTGGGCAAAGCCTTTGAAGCTCCTTCAGGGTTGCCTAGTGAGTTTCTCAGGCACAGCATGAGAATCAGCCTGTTTTGGAAGGGGCAGAAGTGTTATCAGGAGAGGGGAATCAGGTGGTAGACCCAGGCCTTGATCCAATGAGGTGGCATCAGGAGAAATGAACTGCATGGTTGGAAGGACTTTGCTGTTCACATTGCCTTGCTCTCCAGCATCACGAACCACCATGAAGGTGGAGTTAGAGCCTTACTGAAAGGGAGGGACCAATGGAAAGTTTCCAGTTTGGATTCAACTGTTTACATGAGCAGGGGCTCCACTTTTAACGTTGGCAATAAAGATATTCAGAGTTCAAACAATGTTGTTATCTGCTGAGCTTTGATAAAGGAGTGGCATTTCAAAGGACTCTCTTGACTTTTAGAGCCAGAAGGGAACCAGAAGGACCAGCCCATGGCTATATGTTGTATAAACAACATTATAGTGATAGATCCAATATGATAGCCATCATTCTCATTATGGTCCGAATTATTACCAGTCATATGAATGAAGAGGTTCAGTACTGTAAAAGAGATCTGGAGCTGTAATCTCTAGTTCCTTATATGGGTACTCAAAGAGGCTTGTTTCCACTGAAATGCATGAAAGAATTCACTCGTTTCACAGTTCACAGCAATTGTATACATGGGTACACGATCTTTCATGCCAGCTCCCACCCGAGAAGTAATGGTTAGTCAGATACCACATCCTTAATCACGTCTAAAGAAAATAATGGTAATCATTATTTTCATAAGACCTTTTTATTTAAAACTTATTTTAATTGCTAAATTATTGTATTTATTAGGATTTTAAAATTAGCCGAGAATGCACCAGGGGTTTTTTAAAAAAAATTCTTTTAAATTGTTATATTGTTATTGTTTACGTATGTTTTTTTTTTTTTGTATTTTTTGTGAGCCGCCCTGAGGCTTTGTTGAGATGGGGGCGGCATAGAAATATTTTAAATAAATGAATAAGTAAATCAGATCTGGCTTCGTGCTAATATAACAGAGCAATGATGCTGATTCAGAGTGGGTGACAAAGCTTCCTCGACTGGTCATATTGGTGATTTAATCTAATCAGGAATCACATAAGTTGTCTCCACTTGTTCCTTTCTACACATATACTGAACACGTGGAGGATGAGGAAGAGATCCCTTGTTCACCCCGCCAGCTCCCACCCTAAATATAGTCAACATGGTCATAGTCCATCAGATAATTATTTTGGAGAATGAGACCTTCAGAAATCAATATTTGCTATTTGCCCTGCATACTTTGTACCTAATGGGCCTGGTTGGCTTCCTTTTGATTTACATTCCCAGAAAGTAAATTGAAAAATAATGCTGATCTCCAAGAACAACACTAGAGGGAGCACATTGGCCATCCTTTGACAAACTCTACATTATAGAGGCCATTAATGGAGGAAAACAAGTATTGATTAATCTCTCTCTGTAATGCAGATGCCTATACTAAGTAGGTGTCTAAACATCTACCTGCTGAACACCTTCATTGGTATTTGTGAAACTGCTTAACAATGATGCCAACACTGTGGTAGAAATGTAAGCCTTATACAGATGATCATTTACTGCATTTCTGCAGTAAACATGTGTTGAAAAGGGAGCCTTCATTAGGATTATCTGGATGCCAAAGTTGTCAAACTAAGAGAATTTGATTTGTTTATTTTTATGGCCTTTCTGAATTTCTGCAATTGCCATAACTTAGCTCACTTAATATCTAGGATGCACCTGCTTCTCTTTTATTTCAAATGTCAGACTTGCAACAATGTTCTTTGCTTCACCCAGGCATTACTAAGGTCTTCCATTCCACTCTAAGCAGCTCAAAAGGAAATGAAGGCAAATTATTACTTAGAATGAGTTAGCCACAGTAACCCATGCCTTACTGGCATGCTGTGTAGGCTACTGGTGTTATCAGGATAGATTATAATCACAGTATTTTTTTGCTTGACACAGCAGAGTCAAAAATGCAAAGTGAGAAAGTCTTCTGTAGGCTTGCTGTGTACAGGAATTTTTCTCCTGCAAGAGGACTGAATATGGAAGCACGTTCCAGCCAGAGCTCTGGAGAGAATGCGGGGCCAGAGTGTGCAGAGACTTTGTCTGCTGGGAGGTGGGTCCAGGGCAACAAGGGTGGTCTCCCTTCCTTCAGGATGAGACCATGCCCCAGAGATACCATTTGGGTTATTGAGCCAGGAACACTGTATCAAAACAGTGGGCTGCTGCTCTCTTTCTCTGCTATGCATCATCTTGTCCTTTGTAAAACCTTGAACTTTATTCCTCCCACTGCAATTGACTTTCTGATTGGATTATTAATATTGCATCACCAGTTATCCATATTTGCCTAACCTTGAGTTATTGGATCTCCCATTTACTTAAAGCAGGCTATTAATTGCAAATGGGGGTTACAAGTAAAGGGCACCGTGTCTGCAAAAATTACAAAATGCTCAGGAAGCACAGGAAACATTTAAACTTAGTGGCAGAGCATGTGAGTGTGTGTGTGCGGGGGCAGATTTTTTATTGCATAACATTTAAAATAGTCTACCCTTCCAGTTAAAATTCCAAAAATAATATATTTAAATAGTCCCTGTTAGCAGAAGAGACACTGTGGAGTAGCTAGACTGAATTTTATTAATTTATTTTAAAGAATGAGAAAAACTTTGGAAGATAGCTGCATGTGCCAGTAAATAGATGTGTGTTAAACAAATCATATAATTTCACTTCCTTGTCCATAGTTCCCATGAGATAAAGGTGGAAATATTTTTTCAGTATGGTGAACATGCTCACAAGGCACTTGCTGTTAGCATTTTGGAGAAGTTATCAGTCACTGGTGTTCTTGTGGAAAGTCCCATGTCCATCCCATGCAACCTGGTGTGCTTGTTCAGGGCTACTTCCTTGTGGTTACGGACAGGAAAGTTGCACTTGAGTGAGAGATAATAATTAAGTCCTTCGGTTTCTAGACACTCACCATATTAAGGATATAAGCGAATGGATACTCGTCCATGCAGGTTTGCTTTTCTAGCTGTTGAAGAAATGGTCCAGTCACTCACTCAGTCTCTTCCTAATGTGATAAAATGCATGAAGCTACTCAGATCACTTATTAATTTTAACTCTGCCACATCAATAGCCAAAGCTCTCTGGACAATTCTCAGCAATCCTTAGAGCAGGGATGGGCAACGTTGTGTCTCCATTGTCACGTCCCATGGGGATGGGCAGCAGCTCAGAGACTGCATGCACACCTGCTGTTAGACTAGGCTGGGAGGGCAGACGGTCTGGCTGGGGTGAGCTGCTGTGGCAACCCACCATGGGAGAGGAGGAGAACGATGGGGTGCTGGATGTGGCTAGCAGGAGCACATGGCTCTGGGGCTGGATTTAGGGGAAACAAGCAGTTTGGGTGGCAGGGAGATCATGGAGGAAGTAGAAAAAGGGACGTGCGCATGGGCTTTCTAAGCATTTGCATATGCCTACGATACAGGCTGTAGGATTAGGTAGGTGGATTTCCATCTAGACTGATTGTGGATAGAATGGAGTGACCGTAGGGTGATAGAGAGAACTGCAGATGGGCAGGTAAAGTTTGTTTTGTTTTTCTTGGTAGGTTCTAATTCTGGCAGCCATTTTGTGTTGGTACTCATGACATTGCTTCACATTGCAAGAACTTTTGGGGGCAAAACTTGCACACTCCCAAGCTTGCATTTGCAAAAAACATTAATTGGGAAACTGTGCTCTTGGAAAGAAATAGTTTTTCCTGCTTCAGTTGATGGGGAGGAGGAAGTGTGCCCCCAAGTGCACACTTTTCCTACTGAAACACCATCACAAAAAGGGTTTGCAATTGGGAATGGGAAAGAGTTGAACATTTGTTTTTACCTCATATAGTTCACTGCTCCAGAATGTGTTTGGATGTGAAGTGGAATAGATATATTCTAAATAAATAAAATATATTTGCTAATATTTCTCAACACAGTGTATCTAATGGGGAGATTGCCATAATCACAGAATGAAAATAAGCCACGAGATCTTATTTTGATTCTCCACACGCACCAATCATGAGCTGCTTGCTTAGTATAATTACTGTCATTGAGCAGGGGTTGCTGTCATGCCTGAAATAAGCTACCATGGCCTAGTTTCCCTACATGATCTTGTAAACCGAATCCAGATTGCTAAAGTTGGGCTGGAACATAGCTGAGTTTTGCCTAATGAGACTGGTAGGAATTACATCCTGTGTTGCTGGGGTGCCTCCTTCACTGAGGCAATATTAGTTTGCTGCATGCTGGTTAAAAGACTCAGGGAAATTGCTATGTGGCAGCTATTACTAGGAACAAAGGCATGTGCATTATGCTTGTTTTATTTTTGAACTGGAGCAGCAGAAGAGAACCAAAAAGGCCAAGAAAAATAATTTGGTAGAATTTTTGACAAAATGCTACTTTGCCAGAGCAAGATTTGTGTATGTGCGTGTGCATGTTTGCATGCATTTAGGGCACTAGGGGTGAAATCCCATGTACGTTTGGACAGGAAAAAAAAATAACTCCACTGGCTGGAGAATTCTGAGAACTGTAGGACTGTTTTCTGTCTAAACATGGGACTGTGCCATAAAGAGCCTTCTGATGAGTTTCGGCTTTGACCGCCTGCATCGTAGAACATTTGTTCTAAGAGGAACAATTTGCTCTTCCAAGGCAATTGCTGCTCTGATTGGTTCAACCAGAAGGAGGCTCCCTTTTCCAGCTTTTATGTAATGACCCGCTCAGCTGACTAGAGCCCCAAGGTTTGTTTCATCTGAAAGCCCAAGGATGTCCTCATAAGTGGTGTGACATGGCCAGGCATTCCAGTCAGGCACCGCCAGGGCTGTGCATGGGGCATTTTAGACGTAGACTGAAGGCCTGTGGAGGAAGGACACTGGCACAGGATCTCGCCTCTACCAACAGTAACACAAAAAAGTGTACTCCTATGTGCCGCACCCTTGAAGCACAGAAGTGCCGCAACTTGGCTGGCATGCAAATATCCCCAGAACAACCATTGCCGTCGACACTGTGCCTCATGCCAGGCCTTTTCTTGAGGCTGCCATTGCCGTTTTTGGCCATCTCCATTAAGCATCAGGGAGCCAGAAAGGAGGGAGCTGGGATGTGGATTGTCACCTGTTCAAGTCCTTGGCTTCCGCTTCCTTCCCACTGCCAGCACAGCCCTTCTGCCCTTCTCTGAGGCCCAGTGGCATCCTCGGAGAGGCAGGCAATGCTGGGACTCAGGGACTCAGCCTTTGGTGACCCAGCTCTGAGGACACAGGAGTTCAGAGTTGGTTCTCCGAATAATCCCATGGCCTGACACGTGATGTCAGGAAGCCACCAGATTGTTTCCTAATCTGTTTTTCAGTTCTTAGACAAAAGTAAACAAAAGCAAAAGAAAAAGGTGTCAAAATGAGCTGATTATCATGCCTCATCCTTCTTCTGTTGCCCAATGGGAAGGCAGCTTCCTGTGCTTTTGGCAGGATGAGGCAATTCAAAGAGCAAATTCCCTTTCCACTGCATTCCCCATGGCAGGCGTAATTGCAGCCTCATGCCATATCATGGAAAAGCAATCTCAGCCCCTTCTGCCATTGACACCCCCAGAAACTGTAGACCTACATGCATTGTGTGGTGCTTCCCTTGGACACTGCAAAGCTGCTTTCCCTGGCTTTGCACTCTCCAGATGGTTTGGACCTCAAAACAGAAAGGCTGCAAGTTGGACTTTGGTTAAAAAAACATGTCCAAACTCTGTGCATGAACAGGATCAGAAGTAAACAAGTCTGGGAGACTGGTCCAGAAGTTAGCTCCCTAGGCAGGGAGTGCCAGCAACTGAAAGGGGGAACAAACTTTGCACCATTGTGGCAGACTGTGTCTGTTTCTCTACAGTCAGATTTTGGTTCAGGTGTCACAGGCAGGACACAAAGCCTGGGCAGGACAGGAATAGGTCCATTCGCAACCACGTTCAGCTCTACAGCTCAAGCTCCCCTTTGCTTCTACTGCCATGCTCTCTAGGGTTGCACAATGCCCCTTCTTTGAACGTAGAAGCATCCTTGTGCAAGCATCCTTTACTGAAAGGGCAAAAACAAGTTCCTGGCGTTCTGGTAAAGCACAGTATATTGTGAATTCACAGGCTTTATTGATGTGTGTTGTGTAAAATATTAAGAAATGGAAAGGGCTGCCTCTGCTTATAACTCATGGAAGAAATGCAGATAAGCATGAGTCCTCTGTGGCAGGTCAAAGATGTAACTGAACTGGGGTGTGATGCAAAACTACTCTCTTTGACAAGTGTTCTGTTAATGATTAGATGGAATTGAGTAATGATGTTCAACAAATACAACAAGGACTTGGAAAACTAGTGTGAGAGTTCAAAACTTTTTTAAAAAAAGTTAAACTGCTATTTTTTCAGAGACAAATAAAGACAAGATTAAGAAGTTATACTCAGTTTTCCTTTGGAAATATGGGCTTTTGATTTACTGAGATGGGCTTAGCACCGGGAAGTTCTCATTACTGTGTCACAGCATATATATTATGACTTTTTTCCTAGAATTGCTTTCAGAGTTTGAACCCAATAATCTTAAATATGACAGCCCTTCTTCGACAATTAAAGATGCCCATGGGAGAACCCCACCAATCTGAGTTTCTCCTTTCTAAATTTTGTTCTTCCAGTTTTTGTGTATAACTGAAAACTATCTTGTCTGGAGGAACTGCAGTGAAAGCTGAATCTGTGATCTTTGACCTTTGTGAGTATTTTTGCAACTCTCATTTGGGATGAACCATGGAAATGATCAGTCATCAAAAGCAATACATTGTGGGGCTTGTTTCAGGATATCCGCTATAATGATAGCTGAATGTCTGTAGGAATGGGTAGGCAAAGAAAGGGCTGGGCCTGAAATGTGGATTCAGGTTACACAAAAAGGGTGTGCTCTAGGTTAGGAAATGACAATATATTTTACCTCTGGGGGATTGTAACTCAGTGCATTCTGAAATCATGAGTGGATGCCCATTTTGGGAGAACAAATTCCAGTAAGTAAATTTCTAATTCTAAGAGAAAATACAGTAGTTAGAGTAGACACATTTGGATGGCCAAACATAAACTGGCAAAAAGAAGGAATATGTACTCTTTAATGTGGATATGGTTAACTATGCAATTTATTTTTAAACAACCATAAGAAACTACTTTGGGTGCTTTTAGCTACCGATGTGGCATATTTATAGTGCTACATATGCTTCAGGATTGAATAACTGAACCAGTCTCCTTAAGTTATTTTCTAGCTCATGCCATCAAAACATCTGAAGAAGTGCGGATGCTTTGATCACTTCTACTGGTATTATTCAGTGCTACTGTAATTTGTTTATTTCTAGGTTTAATTTTAACAAGTTGTCTTTGGAAGATGATGAGGATGACAAGTCACAAGAAGGGCTAAATAAAGCTAGCAAAGGTGGTCTTATCTATGGAGACTATCTACAAGTAAGTGTGAGATCATGTTACCACTTCAGAAATGATGGAAGAGGGATTTCCTCTTGCAAATGATCAGGTGGTTTGTGGTTATGTGCAACTGTTTCCCCCACCTTCTAGGATAGTTCATATATCCTTTTTGAACATTTTACTATGCTAATATATTTCGCCTTTAGTTGTGAGCCCTGGAAAAATCTGGAATGCTTTGCATGTTTATTTTAAACAAGCTTTTAATATTTTGTTCAGGTGTCTTATCTGAGCTAAGGTTGTAGTCCTATATACCCTAACCTTGAAGTCAGTTCACTGAACTCAACAGGACTTGGTTCTGAGTAGATACTCAGTTGTTAACACTCTAAAAGCAATGTAGCATTGACCTTGTTGTTGCTGATTTTTGGTTTGCGTCAGGGTAAGAGGCCAAAAGAGACAATACTTTCATATTGCATATAGCAGTTATGTCTTCCTCCATTCTTGCAATCCATTTTGACTTAGGTTCAAGGGACCTACCTACTCCAACAAGTAAGCATGGAAAAAGTTGTAGTTGCTAAATATTGATTTAAAATAATGTGTTTTCGCCCACAAATATAGCATTTAAGAGTTTAAGGTACTGGTAGAAGTAGCAATTCTGAAATTAGGATCACTTGCAACTGTACTTCCAACTAGTACAGTTGGAAGTGGGCAAGGCAGCCATCAGGTCAACTGCTGCTCAGTGCAGGACTTGGGGTTAAACCATCCCTCTCAGATGGCTGTCCAGTTGTAACTTGAATGCCTCTAGTGTGGGACAACCTACAACCTCCCAGGGTAATTGGTTCCATTGTTGTACACTCTAAGAGTCAGGAAATTTTCCCTGATATCTAGCTAGAATCTGGCTTTCTATAACCTGAGACAGTTATTCTGTGTCCTGCATTCTGTGTCCTTCCTCTCTGTGACAACTTTTTAAGTACCTGTAGAGTTTTATAATTTCTCTTCTCTTCTCTTGGCTGTATTTCTCCTCTCTTCTTGAACATTTATTTATTTATTTATTTATTTATTTATTTATTTATTTATTTATTTATTTACCAGCCAGTAGCTGAAAGGCTGTCTGGGCAAACAAAGTTAAAGAAACAACATATACCAATAAAACAGTAGAACAATAAAATTAATAAAACAGTAACAATAAGCTCATGTGCCCAGTTCTTTCAATTTCTCCTCACAGGGCTTTGTTTCCAGTCCCTGGATCATCCTTACTGCCCTCCTTTAACCCCTTTCTGGCTTGTCTGCATCTTTCTTAAACTGTGGTGCCCAAAACTGCACCCAGTACCTCAAAGAGGCCTAACCAGTGTAGAGTAAAGGGGAACTAGGGCTTCATGGGATTGGAAAGTGATACTTTTATGAATGCTGCCTAAAATAGCAATTGCTTTTTTGCAGCTACACCACATTGTTGACTCATACTCAGCTTGTGTTCTGTATCAAGCCCAAGAGCCTTCCCACTTGCAGTATTGTTGAGCCAAGTATCCCCCATCTTGTAACAATGCATTTGGTTTCTTCTTCTTCCTGGACTTGGCATTTGTCCCTATATAATTTCATTTTGTTGTTTTCAACCCCGTGCTCCAAACTATTAAGCTCACCTTGAGTATTGTTTCTGTCTTCCAGAAACAATTCCACCCATAGAAACCTATTCCACCCAGTTTTGTGTTATCTGCAAATATGATAATTGTTCCCTGTACTTCCTCATCCAAATCGTTAATGAAAATGTTGAAGAACACTGGGGCCAGGAATGAACCCATTTGCTATCTCTCCTCATGATCACTATTTGAGTTCGATTCTGTAGCCAACTGTGGATCCACCTGATAGTTGTTCCATCTAGCCCACTTTTAGCTATTGTGCTGATCCGGATATCACAGGGTACTTTGTGAAAAGTTTTTGTGAAGTCAAATTAGATTATGTCCACAGCATTTCCACAGTCCACCAGGGAGGCTACTCAATCAAAAAATAAAATCAGATTGATCTGACAAGATTTGTTCTTGATAACCCCAGGTTTGTTTCTAGTAATCAGTGCATTATTTTTAATGTGTTTGCAGTCTGACTGCTTTGCATTCAGCTCCAGAATTTTCCTAGAGATTGGTGTTAGACTGGCTGGTCTCTAGTTCCCAGATTCTTCTTTTTTCAAGATGGGGACAATATTAGCCCTTCTGCAGACATCTTGCAGTTCTCCTGTCATCCATGATTTCTCATAGATAATGGACAGTCGTTCTGAGAGTTTTTCCACCAGCTCCTTTATGACTCTGTGGTGAAGTTCATCAGGCCCTGGAGATTTGAGCTTATTCAACCTAATTAGATGGCCCTTGACCAGTTGCTTATCAATCTTGAGCTGCCATTTTGCTCCTTCAGCTTGTATTTCCCCTTCATCAGGAAGCTCAAAGTCTTCTTTTTGGAGAAGACTGAGCCAACATAGGAATTGACCACTTCCGCCTTTTCTTTGTAATCTGTTATCATTTTGCCATACATGGTGAGCAGTTGAACCCCCATTTTTTTCTCTGTCTTTTACTTTGGACATATCTGAAGAAGCTTGTATGTTGTGTTCCTTGAAAGCCTCACTTCATTCTTAGCTTTAGCCTTCATGCCACCATTCCCTGCTACCTGCCTATACTTTTCCTTTGTAGCCTGGCCTTCCACTTCCTGTACATGTGCTTTTTTTGTTTTCAGATCATCTCAAAGGTTTTTGTGAAGCCACATGGGCTTCTTTGATTGTCAGCTACTCTTTTTCATCATTGGAATTGTTTGTATTTTAGAATTTCTCTTTTTAAAAAATCCCCATTCTCTTGGATTCCTTTTCTCATGAGAGTCACTTGCACTGGAGTGTCCTCATCATCATACTGAATTGATTAAAATTAGCTTTCTTAAAATTCAGAGTATGTGTTTGTCTACACTTGGCTTTCAATTTCTCCCAGGAATCCTGTAACTGCCACTTTGCCCACTAGGTCTTCCCTGTAGGTTAGATTCAAGACACGGATAGCCATTTTTCTAGCTCCTTCCTCTACTTTCTGTAAGAGGAAGTTCACAGCAATATATGTTAGGAATTCCTTGGAGGAGCTGGGTTTGTCAGAATTTGTTCCCCACAGATATTGGGAAATTGAAGTCCCACATAAATACAAATATCATGCCTCCTTGAAATTCTGGCAATTTGCTTTTTATAATTTGTATCCTTGTCTTCTCCTTGACTGAGTGGCAGTAATATAGTCCAAACACTGTGTTCCTTTTATTCTTTGCTCCATTTATATTAATCCAGATGCTCTCAATGGAGCTACTAAGCTCATCCTCTTCTATCTCTGTGCAAAGATATGTATCTTTGATAAATATTGTGACTCCACAGCCCTTTCTGCTCCATCTGTTCTTGAGCAAGTTATACCCTTCAGTAGTTGAATTCCAGTCCTAGGAGCCATCCCAGTGAGTTTTGTTTATACCTATCAGGTTGCATTTGCCCTCCAGTGAGGCTTGTTCTTTAACCGGGGGCAATTACTTCTGGTTTTTTTTTTTAACATTACAAATACTTGCAACTCCAGTTTGTCAGCATGGGATGGTAAGACTGGGGAAATATAACTAAGTATGTCATAGACAATGAAGCCTGTGAGCCGTCCCGAAGCAAGGGGACAGCATATAAAAACTTTAAATAAATAAATAAATAAATAAATAAATAAATAAATAAAATTTTCAACATTCTTAAAAAGCTCTAAGCCCTCTACAGCCAAAGAGAGGCTCAGCGCTGAAGTATGCTTTAACTGGTGTCATCCAGTTGGCCACAGAATTCCTCAGATGCTTAGGTGGACCCTCAGAAGCTTCCTTGAGGCAGTGCATAAAGGAGTGTGGCATTCCTACCAGGAAAAAAGTAACAACTTGCCTCTTTCTGAGGACAAGCAGGTTGGCAGGTTGAGGTTTTTCTTTGTGTTTTGAATGCAATGCCTCTTCCAGGTTTCTGAGGGCCCTGGGGCAAGTCATCTCTCCCTTGGTGCGCTTAATTTCTCCTTGAGGTCATAGTTGCATTTGGACACTGCAGCTCCTTTTGCTCCAAGATAAAATTGGCCAAGTTAAGCACACTTGTTTACAGACATGACTGTGTCATGAGTCATTTCAAATTACATTGTTCCTCCCCTCCCCTCCCCTCCCCTCCCCTTTTTCTCTTTTCTTAGTATAAACAATCACACCCTAAGACATTCCTGAACTTAGAACTGTGCATGTATATGTTGATTGTTTTATAATTAAAATTTATTAAAAAGTATGATGATTAAAAAGCACCATTAACTAAGGAAAGTTTTGTTGGAAGTAACCATTCATCTTTAAGGTCTAGCCTTCTCTTCTTTCTGTTAAAGCTGGACAAAATATTGAATGCTCAGGAGCTTCAGAGTGAAAAGAAGGGAAACAAGATCCATGACGAGCATCTGTTTATTGTGACCCATCAAGGTGATCTTTCTGAAAAGTACTATTTCATGATGAAATTATATTTCATAAATGGGCAGTTACCTATAATAATACAAGGATCTATATAAGAATAGAAAAAGAACCTTCTGGATCAGACCAAAGCGCCTTCTAGCTCAGCACTCTATCCTCACAGTGACTTATGGGACACTCACAAGTTGGGCATGCATGCAGCAGCACTGCACATGTTTCCCAGCAACTGGTGCATATAGGCATCCTGCCACTGAGAGCTTTGGCTGTCTGTCAACACTATATATTGTATGTTTTGTATTATATATTTGCATTTTACTGTATATATTTTAAAATGGTATTTTAATTTATTGTTGTAAGCCGCTCCGAGGCTTCGGCGAATGGGGCAGCATAAAAATGTTTTAATAAATAAATAAATAAAACACCGTGGCATAAAGACCATGAAGCTTAGACACTTGAAACCAGTAGTGCATACTAAAGGGCTCCTAGGGCTTTGCACCTGATGGTGATTCAATTTTCAAAATAAAATATTTAAATGTGTCCCTTTGTATTAAAAGCCCCCCTCAAGCACTAGAGGAAGAAGTACCCTGCTCAAGCAACAGACCTTCCTGACTATCATATAGCTTTGTTTGAAGCTACATGGCGTACTCTAAGGGGCAGAGATATTTGGCTGCCCCTTCCTCCTGTTGTGAGGCAACTCACTTTAGGAGAATAGAGGCCTACAGGGGTGCATCATGGCAGAGGTCACACCTAAGGATGCCAGCAGGTATGGCTTCACTCAGGTGGGACAGGCACAACAGGTCCAATTCTGGGACCTGTCTAACTTTGCAGCTCCACTGTATTAAACTAGAGGCTAGTCCATCCCATGCAAAGTCAGGCTGGTTCACTCATAAATAAGACAAAAGTACAAATAAGATCACATAGGCATATTATGGCATGGACCCCATGGTATTGTTCTGCTGGTCGAACTGAGAACATTGATGAAACATATTTTTGCTCCCTTTTGCAGCCTGCGACTCCCCCAGATCTGCTCTAGAAGGTCGGGGGACTATGCTGGAACAGAACTGGGGGCATGTAGAACTGGCTACAGGGAAAAACGTCAACTGCTGTTTTGTGAAACTGCTCACACATGCAGGATTTTGGTCTTTATATCCACTATTACGTTTTCAGGAACCTGTCATATCTGAATACATGGATAGCAAAGATGTAGCAAAGGTTCAGTCTGGGTGGGTGGAACTCCTAGTTTCCTAGGAACTAAACCAGTTCAGCTGACAAACCAGTTCAGTTCACTTGCAGGGAAGCTGGAGAATTATCTGTTAGAGACAGCTATTAAATACAGAAAGGACCATTGTAATGTAGTGGTGATATCACCAGACTAGGATTGGGAGTCTATGATTTCCAGTTCCCATTAGCCATGAAGATCACTGGGTGACTTAGGGGCGGTTGCTTTTTTTTTTAAAGGTAGCCCCATTCCCAGGCTTGTTGTGGAGATTAAAAGTAGGAGAGAGCTACAGTATGTATGCTGCACAGAGATTCTTGGCAGAAGGACAGGATAGAAATATCCATGAATCTCCCACATTCTTAGCACTTCCTTACTAAATTATGCTTGCCAAAGTGGCTCAAGAAAAATTCACACACTTTAAATGACAGATATTATTTATAACCAAAGGTCAGCTTTTCCACCCTAAATATTTTTTTGCATTTTATGATTTGCCTTCAAGCAATTTGCTCTACTTTGATTAAGTGAATGTTTTGTGAGAATAAATTTCCAGTAGTTTTATACACTATGTGTAGGTATTCGGCATATATTCAAAGAGTGTAATCCTATGTATGCTTAGCAAAATAAATAAATAAATAAATAAATAAATAAACAAACAAACAAACAAACAAATAAGCAAGCAGCCCTACAACTTCCAGCATTCCCCAGCCAGCCAATAAAAGGATAATTCCAGGGAAGGAAAAATGAAGCTATGATGTGAAGCTGTTTTATTCTTATTACAAGCAAATAAATAAAATTTTAATAGCATGATTCCAAAATAATTATGGAATTGATTAATATATTCCATACATGTAACTATATTACTATGACTAAGAAGAGAAATTAACAGTGTGTTTTGATCTTAGCTTATGAACTATGGTTCAAGCAGATCCTGTGGGAATTGGATTCTGTCCGAGTGATATTTCAAAATGGTCACGTAAGTAGGATATAAATGTAATTGTTTAAAATTACTTTCATTACTCTCATTAAAAATTTCCTTTAATATTTTGTTCTTCATCAAACCCTGAATATCTGTGAAAATATTTTAGATAGTAAAGTCATCCATTTCTGTCAGAAGCACAGCATGTCCTAGAAATTGTTGAGCATTCCTAAATCCCAGGACACTCATTATACAATTGGAGCTTAATTAAACAACAGGAACAATAACAAAGGCTGCAATCCTGTACACACTTCCCTGAGAACAAGACCCAGTACACTCAGCATAGCTTCCTTTAGAGGAGGTATGCCAATGACTCATTGACAACCTGCAAATTCTATGCATGTTTATTTAGATATCAGTCCTATGCCCACTTACTGAGCAGTCCTAAACTTCCTAGGGAACTGCTGAGGAGCTGCTGAAGGCTGAAGACCTCCCCTTCTGTGGACTAAAAAAGGAGCCCACTATTAGAGGCTTCCCTGGCATCACAGTGGGAAGCCCAGCTCCTATCAATCTAGCACCTCCAGTACTCTCTGGGCAACAGAGATGAAAAGAAGACCTCCTGGGGGGCTGGGGAAGGCCTTGGATCCACCAGACTCAGAGGCTACTTGTTTCTACAACATGGCTACAGGAAGGACAAAAAGGCATGCCAAGGCTAGACCTTCTCCTTGTTAGTGTCAGTGGATGCGAAAATAACAAGGCTGAATGGAGATGACAATAAATATTCACTCCCATCTTCTGACTTGGCCAGTGCAAGCCAGCAGAATTTAGGAAATTGTGTTTTCTCTGCCATGTCCCTATTTCACTTGAAATAACTCGATCTCAGTGAAACTTACATCTAGCTATCCCTTTAGTTACCAGTAAAATTCAGGCATACCTAACTTTCTCTGGTTTGTGTCACTTATATTTCCAAATTTTTAATTCAGATGTTTCCTTGGAGGACAGTCATAAATCATATAGGGAAATGTGAGGCTTTTTATGCACCCCAAACATAATGTTTTTCATTGAATGTTGATTGAACAATTCATTCTTAAAGGCTGACTAGAACTAGATTTATAACCTTAATTGCAGTAATAGCAAATTATTTTTTTAAATGGATCAATTAAAATGGTGCCCCTGATTTATCATTCAGCAGATATAAATTGTAAATTAATCCGTCAATCAACTAAAACTCTCATGATTAGAGAGTTGTAAGTAAAATGTATGTAATCAAGTGACAGCTCTTAATTAAAGCAGCCTACTGTTCTTTGCTACATCTCATCAGCTAAGTCATAATAATCATTTCCTTTTTTTCTGACAAGGTGAGAGATGAAAGGAACATGCTTAAAGTTGTTGCTCGGATACATAGAATTTCAATAATTCTTAAATTACTTGTGGAACAATTTTCTGTTCTAGAAACTATGACAGCTCTGGACTTCTTTGACTTCAGGTAAACAGTACTCTGTCCTTAACACAATCATGTGTGATTTTCTGCAAGTTATTAAGCAACTTCTGAAGGATAGCATTCTAGGGAAGGCTGGATTAATTTGTTCAGATTTGTCAAATGAATGTATCTCCTGACAACAGTGATTGCACTGCTGAAGGGACAGACTGGAATTGATGATAATGAGGTCATCAAAGTGTAATGGGATGGCTCAGTCCCATAGGACTAAAAAAGCACAATCTGCAATTTACATATGCTTTAAAGTCTCTCTGTGTTTGTCTTTAATGAAACCCATCTCCTAAAACTATTTTGTAAAAATAGATGTACCGACAGGGGAAATGACAGCATTTGGGGGTGTTTTTTGTGGGAAACTCTCAGGTAGAAAGATTCCAGGGAGGGTGCAGTAGGAGGGCAAAAATGTGTGGGCCACATATCAGTTAATCCAGGGGGATCAACTGGAACAGAGATAATCAGGGCCTTTTATTTCTGCAAGTATCCATGGACAGCAGAGTGGTGGGGCAGGTGGCTTCCCATAGATTTAGGACTTTAGAGTTAGGGCTAGAGAACTAGTGGGCCACTCCCTAACGCTGCCTGTGATGCACACAGGTCTTTCTGAGCAGCTTATAATCTAGTGATAGGCACAGGAGAAGCAACAGAAGGAGGGAAAGAAAGGGGGAAAGGGGTAAACACATGAATGCATGATTATTTCACTTCAGGTTTGTGGAAGGGCATGATAACTAGTTTTTTTTCCCAAGGTAATCTTTTAGGAGGGATCTATATGAAGTAAAAGAAAGCACATCAGCTTGCAGATATATGGGGCAGTGGCCTAAATAGACTAAAGCCAAAGCATTATTAAGTATTGATGTCCATGTACCCAACCCAATTTGCTAAGATCACAGAACATATGCTTAATGCTCTGTTCAAAACAAACCCCTCTGAGTTTCCTAGGAATTACTTTTGGATAAACATGCAAAATGACATGAGTGTTAGAACCCCTCGTAGTGATAGCTGAAGTGGAACTATTGAAATCAATGACATTTCAATGGGTTAAGTATGATTTAGTTTGGATCTATGGTATCTGATTCTTCATCCTGAAATTATATACCAGGAATACATTATACCTGGAAGTCATAATGTATGACTTTTTTATTTATTTTTAATTTTAAATTAGTATGCCGTCCATTAGTTCCATCTCTGGATGACTTACAGCATTAATCAGAATAAAATACATTAACTGTTCCACACTGGCTGAAAATCTAATAAATTACAAACAATAAAATCCAATTAATACATATTAAATATTGATTGAATAACAAGGTCATGACCTGGTGCTGAAAAACATATAATGACAGCGCCAGGCAGACCTCTCTAGGGAGCACATTCCATAGACTTGTTAATGTAATTACTTGTTATGTATTACTTGTTATTTTTTTAATGTTTAGCTATTTGTAAACTATTCCAAGAGTGATGTGCTGAGGGAATGGTATATAATTGTTTAAATAAATGAATGAATAAATAAATTTTAATAAGTGCATTTACGGGATATTTGCTTTTTAAAATGTAGACTCTGGATCTTCTACATGGAACAGTTTTTTAATTCTACATGGAACTTTTTTTTTTAAGCATAGCCTTTACATCCAAGTATTTCTTCATGTTAAAGTTAAATACTTTGTAACTGTTTGATTGAGTATCTCCTTTGAGTTATTACATGGTGCTACCTGTTGGTGGTGGAAGTGGTTTCCTCAAGAGGAGACTTTCCCAACCTTATGCCTTCCAGACATGTTGGGGCAGCAACACCCAGAATTCCCAGTCAATGCCCTGCTGGATGGGAATTCTGTGAGTTGTGGTCCAAATGCCTCTGAAGGCCACCAGGTTGGGGAAGGCTGCTCGGGAGGATGAAGCTGTAATGAGCTACAGATGTACTCTCTTCCTGTCTTTAAAGAAATTACCTGAGCCCAGCATCAGGATTTCAGAGCTTACAATTTCGATTACTGGAGAATAAGATTGGTGTCCCTCAGAGCCTGAGAGTCCCATACAACAGAAGACACTATCGGGATAATTTCAAGGGCAAAGAAAATGAATTGTTGCTCAGATCTGAACAAGAGCCAACTTTGCTGCAGCTTGTGGAAGTAAGCATTTTCCTCCTACTTATTCTTGGCCTGCGGAGTTTGAAATAGCTAATAATTTACCACTGTCTGCAAGTATATGGAAGCAAGCCCACCCCCAATCATTATTCATAATTAATCATTAAGATAAATGTGCTGTAAGGTAAGATGCTTATCCTGGAGGTGGACCACTTTTGAGGGCTGTGGGCACATTTGGAAACTGGAGAAGCTGTCCTGGCCATTGGGCAGTAAATCTGCCCTTTTCTCCATAATGGGTTTTTCTCATACAAGGAAAAAACAGGGAAGAAATTGTGGGAAAACACGGGAGGGTTACAAATTTAAGGTACTTTCAACTGGACCATCCATGAAATTCCATGAATGAGGCAAGGCAATCGCACAATAAAGATTCATTTGCAGCACACCTTGCTTCTTGCACAGGAGTATTTACAAACTTACATTTTAAGCTATAGAAACCTTATAACTTTATATTTTGTAACAATATGTTTATAACATAGTGGGTGGGCACTTATCAAAGCACATGATGGTGGCATTTAACTAGCTTTTAAAAAAATTGCCAGTAAGGTGGGGTAAAATCCTAATCATACTAGCAGCATCAAGAATAGTTACAGCATGGTAATGGAAATGAAAATAGGACACACTGTGTTTGGAAGGTGGCTCTTGCTGAAAACCAAACACAACAGAACCAGTGTAGGAAATAGTCAACCAGGACTTGTTCTTAGAAACATGGTTCCACTTAATTATATACATTAGTTCAAAGTCTGCCGATGAGCATCCACCAAGTGTACATTCCTATTTTTGGAAGGATGCGATAATGAGCAAGGCAAATGATTGAAAAGTGATCATTTTGTGGCTCTAACAGAACTTAAAATGTAAATTTCAGGGGTATGTTCAGGGATAACAATCCTAAATTATCTACAGAACCTGAGATGAAGAATATAAAGCAAGCAGCATGTGTTGAGGTTTTGTTGTTACAACATTTTTATCTTGCATTTCTCAGATAAAATACTTATTTAAAAAAAGAACTTAAAAAGTGATCAGGGAAAAGGTGGACAAGTATAATGCTGAATAAGTATGACTATTTGTCTGACACTTTTATAATACTCAGACATTCCTCTCTCCTGTGAACATATTAGTATTACGAAAGTTCAATTTCTCTGGTACTGGCTAGTCAAGAATTACTCCTTCCTACATGCACATATACTCGGAACGTACCCTTGTGGCTTGGCAAGGTACTCTGTATATCAAGGATGGATAAAGCTTGGTACTTCAGATGTTGTTGGACTGTAACTCCTGTCATCCCTCACTGTTGGTTCTGCTGGCTTGAGCACATGGTAGAAGTAGTTGTTTAATCGCAAAGTCATGCCCAACCCATCACAACCCCATGGACAACCTTCCTACAGGCTCTCCTGTCCTCCACCATCCCTCAGAGTCCACCCAAGCCCACACCCACTGCCCCAGTAACCCCATCTAGCCAGCTCAACCTCTGCTGTCGCCATCTTCTTTTCCATCAATCGTTCCTAGCATCAGGGGCTTCTCCAGTGAGTTGTTCCTTCTCATTAGGAGGCCAAAATATTTGAGTTTCATCTTCAGTATCTGGCCTTCTAAAGAGCAGTCAGGGTTGATTTCCTTTAAAACTGACTGGTTTGATCTCTTTGCACTCTAAGGGACTCTCAGGAGTCTTCTCCAGCACCACAATTCAAAGGTTTCAATTCTTTGGCACTCAGCCTTCCTTATGGTCCAACTTTCACAGTCATATATTGCAACTGGGAAAACCATAGCTTTGGCTACATGAACTTGGCAGGGTGATGTCTCTGCTTTTTAGTATGCTGTCTAGATTTGCCATAGCTTTCCTCCCCAGGAGCAAGCATCTTTTAATTTCTTGACTGCAGTCACTGTCTGCAGTGACCTTGGACCCCAGGAAAATAAAATCTGTCACATGGTAGTTACAGTGCAGTAGCATACAGTGCAGCATACAGTGCAGTAGTAGGCCCACACATTCTTCACCTCTGAGGTCTGGTAGAGGTATTCGTATTTACTGACAAGCATGCATATAAATTCCTAGAAGATGTGTTTTCTAGTTCATGTATCTCCACAAACCCTTCTTAAGATCACCATTACCAATGACTAAACCCAAATATCAAATACAGTTATTGTGTGTGTGTGGAGGAGGGGGAGGGGGTTGGCTATATTCTGTTTGGCTGTTAAATAGTATAGAAATAATAAAATAATAAGCAATGTATAACCTGACAGTGAATCTATTTTGTTTTGAAAGGCATGGCTGGAAAGGACACCAGGACTGGAGCCAGAAGGATTTAATTTCTGGGGAAAATTTGAAATGAATGTACTTAATGGACTAGAACTGGAATTTGCAACAGTGCAGGTACATATTATAATTTCCAGCGATTATCTTGGAGAGATGGATCAATCCAGCCAGTGGTAGCCATTCCAACAAAACTGTCTTTGGGCAGGTGCATGAGACACCATGTGAGAAACCCCATTGTATGGGCAATTCCCCATTCATGGTGGGGAAGGCAGTTTAAGCATTCTGAAGTAACTTGTCCCCCCTCCCCTTGCAAGAGATGTACTGGCAAGAGCCACAAACCTCAGGCCAAGAGCCACAAACCTGTAGGATCTGTGTGGAATTAGAGCTACATCTTGGCTTATGTGAAGATCCTCCATGGGTACAATAGCCTTTCCGCTTCTCATCACCCTGCTACACAAGTACAGAGGGATGGAAATTGGTTGAAGGGTGAGTGGGAATGGAGCACTGATTGTACACCAGTCCTGAATGCCTGGGTAGGGCTTCGTATTGCTGAAAGTGAGCTCAGTGACACTTCAGTGACCTTGCCTGAGGGAGTCCCATGCTGCAAAAGAAATGCAGTTCTGTGAAAGTACTGAATCCAAGTGTACTTTGCTATGGTTCATTAATGCCATTTACAGAACTTCCATTTGGAAGATCCATTGAGGGGAGTTGGAAGCCAAAACACCTATCATCTTTCCTCATGTCCAGTCACAGAACTAAATAGAGATCAACATTAATGGAAAAATTGGGAGTATGTTAATGCAAGAAAATGGTCCATTTTCTTCTCCATTCATGTTTCAGTGAGGAAGCATTTCCCGAGTGTATACTGGGGATTATACTATTCACATATCCTTATTAATCAGAATGAATGCTATGGTTAGCTCTGCAGCTATTGCACAGGGAGACAATTGCCAGTGAATGCATGAGCCCACTGATGCATTCACTACCATGAGCTGATGTGTAGAACTGGAGTACATTTGCAAGTTCAAGCTTGGCCAAATAGAATGAATGACAAGATTGTATTGCCTTCTAACCAATACATACTTTAGTCATCCCGTCAGGAGGAAAAAGAGCTGACACACTGCAGGACAAATGAAAATGGTGCCCAGTTTTTGGTGCATTGCAGTGAACTTTAGTCTGAATACCTAAATTGAGAAGTATTCCAATTATGGACTACACTCAGAGGGTGGGGAAGTCTCTAGATCCTGTCTGCTGTCATGTGCTGTCAAGTCATCTCTGGCTTGTGGCGACCCTATGAATGAAAGCCCTAGAAAAGGTTCTGTCCTTCACAGTCCTGATCAACTCTTGTAAACTCAACGCTGTGCTGTCTACAATGGTGATTTTAATCTCATAACTAAATTACTCTTAATGGAATGACCACTGAACGAGGGTATCATGAAGTGGTACCTTTTGATCTACTTGCATCTGCATGCTTTCGAACTGCAAGGTTGGCAGGAGCTGGAATGGAGCAACAGGAACTCCACCTGCGCCACCTGCAGTCCCTATCATGCATTAAATAGGAAACATTAAAAAATGGGCTAATTCCTAAATTTCAGAAGGACAATGTAAGGGAAAATATACTATGTAAATAAACAAACTGAAGCTTTTTAGTTGTTTGTAACTAAATCTAGTTGTTTGTAACTAAATCTTGTAACTGAAGCAGTCATTGTTGTGATTGAAAGGCCAAACAAGACTCAGAGGAAAAAGAAGACCAACTCATGGAACTTCAGAAACAAAAAGATGTGCTTATTTCATTGTTTGATGAAAAACGCCATGAACATCTTCTTAGTAAAGGTAGGTAGGCATCTAAATTCATGCAGGTGTGAACTTCCAGTTTCTCATATATCACATGAAACTAAGCTGCAATGCTTTTGATAAAATTAATGTATATTAAATTTTGCAGGTGAAAGAAGGCTGTCCTATCAAGCACTGAAAGGCGCTTTAATGATTTATTTCTACAGGTACATTAAAAGTCATTTGAGCCATATGAATGGTGTTTTAAGAAACAAAACAAAATCATACCATCTGTTTGCAAGTGTTCTTGGGGTTTGATGTTTTGTAGTGTGAAATATCCTATGTGGGGAAAAAAAGATTCTGCAACTTGGTAACTGAACTTCCATTGCAAGTTTCATTGAATTTCCATTGCAAATACCAGAGGAAATTTGTTTTAAATAAAACCATTTCCACATATTCATGTGAAGCAACTCATTTTTTAAAAAATCAAAGATTCTATAGTGATATTTATTGGAACCAATATGAAGTTTAATTCCAAATAGCAAATGTACACAGTGTTCACTTGTTCTTCAGAATTAAACCTAGAGTTTCATATTTTGTTCCATTCATGATTTGTAGGTGTGCGATAAGGCAGACAAACTAAGACATCTTAAGAAATTCCTCCCACTGAACCCAGTAAAGATTCCCAGGTCTCAGCATTAGCCTTCTTCTGTTGGTCAGCTAGTAAAAGGAATGAAGAACCAGAAACAAAAGAACATGCTGTTCTCTACTTGGCTTGCATTTTTGCTCACTTTACCCCAAATAATGCCCATCAATCTCCCCTCCCAAGGCCCCATAGTCAAGTTGATGTCCGTACCTTGCTATCCCCCTGACCCCATAAGGAACCACTGTTAAATTCTAAACCTCAAAACCTTCAGTATCAGGGCTCAAGTCGCAGATAACTCTCAGCCTTAATCTAAATACATATGCATAGGATTAGAGCCCTGGAGTGCAATCTTAAGAAAACTTACTGAGGAATAAGCTGCAGTGAATGAAGTGGACCTTTCTTCTGCATCAGATTGCACTGTTCATCTTTCTATTGCATATGGAATATAGTTATAATTTAGTTCTTGAAAGCAAACTGATCTAAATCAACAGGACTATCAGTGTGAAACTCCCATTCTTCAGTTTTTATTTGTTCACATTTAGCAACAATAAAAACCAAGTAAGGTTGAAAAGCATATTAGTCTCTTTTTACTGTATCATTGACTATTTCTGAACTATTCAATAGTAGCAGACCACTATTGCTCAAGTTCATACAAATATATGAGGGAATAACATATATAATTATCAGGATGTCTTTTCCTTTTAATTTGGCACATGCTGTAAAATAGAAGAATTTAAGTATGATAATGAGTTCTCTTCTGTTTTCTTCTGTTAAGAGAGGAACCTCGCTTTCAGATTCCTTTCCAGCTTCTTACTTCTCTCATGGATATTGATGTGCTGATGACTAAATGGAGATGTAAGTTTTCTTTTACAACTACCATAATGCTGTAACTGAGGTTGCTACTGTGTCATAAAACAATGTGTTATGGCTGAGTGCTGCTAATGAAGGGAGTGGCTAATGATTTAATGTGAAACAGAGAAATTGCATGAATATCTACTCCCTGCTGTTAAGTTGTATGACTCTGGACAGCTCTGGGTGATACTAACAATCTGCACTTTGTCTACAGTTCCTGCAAAGGGTCAGCTGCAATCCTATATAGCGATTAATGGCATAGGACTGAGGCCTTTTAAACTCAGTGGGGCTCATGTCTGAATGACTTGACATGTATAGGATTGCATTATAAAGCACAATAGATGTGACAATTTAAATTACAGGGGAAGAAAAGCATGGTTTCTAAAAACATTCATAGTTGTACTACAGATAAAACAATACAATTTTAGGGGATCATTTTATGTCATAAATTGTATATGCACTAAAACAAAGTATTTTTATACCTAGATAACCATGTGTGTATGGTACACAGAATGATTGGCAGCAAAGCTGGGACAGGAGGGTCATCAGGATATCAGTATTTACGCTCAACTGTGAGGTAAGTCTATAGGAAGTCAAGTGCAACTTTACAGGTGTACATGGCCAGGAACCCATGCACATCATGAAAGATTCAGAACATCAAACTTGACAAAAGGGATGTTTCTTTTAAAGTCTTCACATTTGTATGATGAAATTGCACTTTCACTGCTATGGAGTCATTGAGTTAAATGATTAGCAATGAGTTTGGGAATAATGGAGGAATGCATAAATCACCTTGCTAATTTATTGTCATCTGTTATGGGAAGGGCTATTGACTCAGGCTGAAAGAGAGGATTTGTGATGGTGTGAACAGGAGCACCCTCATGGTTTTAACAGCTGCTTATACCAATGGATTAAACAGTAAAGCTGTCTTTACTGGCAGCAGCAATCTATTAAGAGGTCTGAACATATACTTCAAATTAAATAAGAAAGGTACCAGATACTTTAGTTTTAGAAAGAGACTGCAGAAATTAATTTTACATACATTAGGTGTGTCTAAACATACAGGGAAATTAATGCATGCTGGGAAACCTGAGACCTTACAGATGGCATTGGACTCTAGCTTCCTTCAGTCCCAGCCAAAATAGCTAATGTCTGGGATTATGGCAATTGTAGTCCATCCATTTCTGTGGGGTCAGGTTTTTCTATGTCAGTCTAAAATTATGCAGCCTGACCTAAGCCCATGAGCACTCAAGCTTGTTGAAGCAGACATATGGCAAAGATTCAAGGTAGGCAGTGAATGACATTGCAGTTAAACAGAATATGCCTGTCATTTGTTATTTCTGGTGCTTCTGCTTTTGGTAAATAGCTTTATTGGTGAACTTTGTTAAAATTATGTGAAGGAGAACTCAAAACCTGAAATGAGCAGGATTTTCATGTGGAGTTCCAAAATGATCTTTTTTATCCCTACCGGTAGGCATTCACTTGATAATCATGTCATTAACTCACCATTTTTTAGCTGGCCCCTTCAAGCTCAGCCTTTTATAGCTTGGTGCCCTTGAGATACTTCATAATTCTCAGCATTCCTGACCATTCTTGATGGCTGCAGCTGATGGGAATGGACAGCAAAAAAATGAGAGTATCCATCTGAAGGATGCTTAACTCTATATTGAACCTTCTCAGCTGGAGGTTGGCAGACCATTAAAAGTTAATGTACTGATTTGGTTATTTATTTTGGGCAGTATCTAACCAGGTCACTGTGTTTCTGTTATGTTCATCTAGCAGGACTGACTGCTTGTGCAACATGAACCCAGTGGTTCTAAAAGTAACCCTGGAAACAAGCAAAAAATTGCTTCCGGATTGGGGCAGGTCAGTGGAGCCCCAGCTGTGCTGATCTGCTTCATTCTGTGAACCAGTGTATCTGCTCATTTCAGGTTGCCTTTAGAACTGCTAACTTCCGGTTGCACAAGCCATCAATCCAAGTGGTGTCTAGGCATAATAATATACTGAGCACTACACAAATTAGAAAACAGTGTATTACAAAATACTACTCCTCATTAATGTACTGACTTTTTTCTTTGCAGTGATAGATACAAAGTGTTTGTGGATTTGTTCAATCTTTCAACATATTTGGTGCCAAGACACTGGATTCCTAGAATGAACCCAACTGTTCATAAATTCCTTTACACAGCAGAATATTGTGACAGTTCCTACTTCAGCAGTGATGATTCAGATTAAAAACCTTCTTTGGACTGTCCTTGTAAATCACTGAATTGTAACTGAGAAGCTTGGTGCCTAATATTATGTCTTATATTGGATTTATATCCCATTTTTATTTGTTATATTGGATAACTTATGCATAAGCCTAAGGGACACACACTATGATGCACAATGTCCCATATCATTTAAATCTATGATTTTAGATTGACTATCAGAAATGAAGTTTAGAGATGAGATAATTAACTGAGGAAGCAATCCAATTTGGCTGCCATTACACTCTGAAATGGGAAAATTAAGGGTCTCCTACACAGAGCAGGAGGGACATAAAGCAGAAGGAATGTGACCTTTGCCTCCACATTCTTCTTGCCCTGCAAAATGTCTAGATGTCTGATCTCTGCTGCCTATCTGGGGTGTTATGGACAGGGAAGGAAAGAGGATGTGATGTGTCCTACGATGCTGGGGCTCCTTCCCTTGTTGACTCCACAACATTTTCTTCATTGCCTTCTCTAAGGTTGCTCTTCTCACATTGGAAATGCAGCCAACATATTTTTTCCATGCTAGCTATGAGTAGGGGAAGTGAAATCCAGGGTTAGAGCTGGGAATCTGAATGATCCTCTGGCATTCCAGGTATCCCTTGGGAGCATTGGCTCACACTGAACTTTGTTGAACTTCCACCATTCAAAACAAAAAAGTTTAAAGTATGGCAGAGTTTTTTAAATTTTTTATCTGATAGCTATGCTGCCCTACAGTATGGTTCAAGTTGCTGTTTTAGCTTTATAAAGATATTGTAAGAAATTGTAAAGATATTATTTCAGTTATGTTTCTGTTAATTCTGTATGGGAGCTGTCTTCAGAACAGAAGATGGCAAATATACTATAAATATCAATAAACTTTAATGTTGTGGTATTCCAGAAATAAGATGACATGATCTATTTAAACAAAAGTGATCTTGTTGCAGGAGCCAGTGTGGTGTGATGGTCAAGAGTGCTGGGCTGGAACTCAGATCTGGATCTAGCCCTGCTTGGCCATGAAGCTCACTGGGTGACTTTGGACCAGTCACTGACTCTCAGCCTGACCTATCTCACAAATCTGTTGCAAGAATAACATTAAGAGGAAATAATCTTGTAAGTTGCCTTGGGTTCTTTGCAAGAGAAGAATATCCAAAATAATATGTAGTGCCTCTTACTACACTGTGGGGAGATTGCCACCAGGGCCATAAAATGGAAATGGCAATGTCATAATGACACTTACCAGCTATACTGGGACAATAAGTAGGAATTTAATTTGGTTTCGGAAAAATCAACCATTTCATATAATGCAAATAGATAACAAGTTTTTATTGTAAATGCAAAAATTGATAACCATTCAGTATATAAAATAGTCTTACAATTCAGCTAACATTTAGACATGTTTTAATCAAAACTAACAATTAAAGCGCCACTGGTTTCCGTATCAGATATGTTACATTCTGTGATCAAGTGATAACTGTAAACTTTTCAAAGGAGCAGCAAAGGAGAGGGAACTACAGTCCTGATGGCAAGTCGAACTTGAGTCAGCTTGATTCAAGCTCAGAATGTGGAAAAAGAAAAGAACACTGTGGATCTACTGTAGCTTACTCCAAATAGAAAAAGTTATTTCGTGTTCTAGTACAGCATAAAGGTTATGAACAGGAATGCAAGGAGAGCTCAGGAATAGCAGAACATCATTGAGATACAGGTACTGAATGATGCTTCTAGAGCAGCCTTGCCCAAACGTGCACCTTCCAGATGGGTTTGACTGCAGTTTCTACCATGCCCTGCAAGTATGGTCAAGCCATGCCAGGAATTGCAGTTAAACACGGCTGGAGGACACAGGTTCTGGAAGACTGCTTTAAAGGCCGGTTCAAACTTTCTGCAGCACTGCTGCTATATCAGTATAATTACACTCACCATGGGATGGAGAGTGGTGCTCCTTAAATGTTTAAACTATGCATAATTATGACTTCACTGTGCAAAATAGCTTATAAACTGAATAGCACAGTCCTAATTATTTCTGCTTAGAACCACCATGGAGTTCAATGGGTCTTACTCCCAGTTAAGCAGGCACTGGATTGCAAACTGAATTGCTTTCTCAACTGCCTTAGGGAATGGGTATTTACATTTAACAGATGTAGAAGTGAGGTAAAAAGCATGATTTGCCTAATACCACAGGGCACCTGATCAACCCAGGCTTCCCGGATACAAACCTATCTATTGTGTCACAGTAGCAAAAAATAAAACCAAAAAAACCAAAGAAAAACACCAACCCCCCCCTAAAAACCCCCAATCCTCCAAACCATATCCCTGAGTAGAATCAAGATTTCCAAACTTGATGCTAGAACTGGTAATATAAAATACCTTCCTTCTGCATAATTTATGGATCTGGTGCATATCATGTGTACATTAAAAGGTTGTCTGTAGTGCCCAAAATGAAATGTCTATGGCTCAGTAATGGCGGCAGGACAGCACTTCTTCTAGGACTGAAGATTTGATATAGTCTCAGTGTCCACAAAGAGTGTCCTTTCTTGTGAATAAAATGCCTTCACATTATGTAAAATTGTGATTGAAATATCTAAACATCCATTTCACACAAACACAGCAGAAACTTCATCAGCAATTCCTAAAAGGGAAAAAAGGAAAAAGAAAAAAAGGGTGGGGGGAGACCAAATGTATTAGATAATGAGCGATTTTAATGTTCTGTCCTTTTAAAAGAAAAACATTTTTGCAACATCTCTTAAATCGTTAACTTCACCTCACAAACATCACCTCTTTTCATTTCATTTTATGTTTACAATAGGGGTCTTTCAGGTTTTCTCAGCAGAGGCATCCCATCAGAAAAGTTGCTCTTCTGAGTGAATTACTCTATTAGAAGTCCATGGAAATTTACTTCAGAGAAACAGTCAGTGTTTTCATAATGGCATGTACTTAATTTTTCCCACCTTATGACTAATCACCATAATTGGCTGAATTGAGAACCTTCTGTTTTAACAAATGTAACATAGCATATGCGTGACTATTCAGAGGCAGGGATGTAGGGCATTTGATCTGATTATACTAGATCAGGTATCTTCATTTTCCTCTTGCAGAAAGAGGGTTTTGTTACAGTTCCTTTGAGCAAGTGGTTTGCCACTGCATTCTGAGACAATAAAGTTGAGTCAAGACTCTACAGCTTGGCTGCCTAGAGAGTCAGTTAAGATCTTAGAAGGGGTTTCAAAGTTTGCCTCTACATGGTCCTCTGTTTCTTCATTAAATATGAACCACAGTGCCACTTGCTCAACTTACCACACATATTGGAGCCTATTTTTACATGAGCGTAGCCGTCTATTCCCCATGAACGTCCCCAGGAGTTCCGTACAATCCAATAGGGAATGTCACCTGAAAAGTGAGTTCAGTAAGTTTACTTTTCAAAAAGATTAAAGTGTTGGGCAAACTTTTATGACATTTACCCAGCCTTCTTAGCCAGCATGGCCATTGAATGCAGGGAGCTATAGTTCAAAATCTCTGGATTTGTTTTGGAAAGGCTACATTAGGCAAACAGGTGTAGAAAGCTAAAGCAGAACTTCATGGAAGCTTGTATAAAATCTGGCCTCAGCGTGCCAAAGCATCAGTTAAAGATGTAGCTAGGAACACCTTTTCTTTTTCACTTTGAGTAAGTCCAGGTGGTCCAATCTGGACCGTAGAATGAAAGGCAGAGGCCTTTACCTCTCGCACTCTACTCAGGTCTTGATCTAGATTAACTCCAATTGCTGGATGTTTGCAATGTATATTGCCAAATAGCAAATGGTAGCAGGAAAACAATGGTCCTCCATTAATCCTGAAGCAGCTCTGTATGTCAGTAACAGAGGCAGGAAAGTAGCTATCTTGATCACAGTCCATGCTGTGCGTACGTGTGGCATGCATACATGCAGCTCCTGGTTCCCTGGATACTGTAGTGCAGGAGTGGACAACCTGTGGTTTCTAGATGTTCTTGCTTACAGCTTTCATGATTCCCTCCCACCAGCTAATTTGGCTAGGGATGATGGGGGTTCTAGGCCAACTCAGAAAGGTTGCAAGTTGTCCATGGACACTCTGGGGCTAATTTCAGGGTATGGTCTGAGCCAACCTAAGAAATTTAAGCATTATTTTGTTGTGTCTTGAAAAGGATTCCTCTCTGATACTTAAATGGGCAAAATGTTAAAGTACTATAATTATTATTGAATATTAGCATGTACTTAATTGGACAGAAGTAAATCCCGCTGAAACTTTTGAACAAATCTAGTTGCAATTGAGGTGTTTGTCCCTGAATGGACACAAAATAAGTATCTAGCAGATTAAAATTTACCTGTCCGATCAAAACCAGTAATGACAACAGCATGATTTGCTTCTCCACTGGAACAATGATACTGGATGATACCACCAAGGTAATCTTGCCAGCTAACTGCATCTACAATCACTGCCAAAGGGCCCCATTCAACAAGCATTTTCATCATTTCATCTTCTTGGCCGCTGCAAGACAAGGAAAGATCTTCCATATTCAGAAAGCAATGCACCATGAAAGAGTTTAAATAGTCCTGAGCAGTTTTGTTGTGAAGGATCTGGCCTGTCAGGTTGAAGAAACTGGTCACCCCTGGTCCAAGATATAGATCTTGGATTAAGCCAACAGGAATAGTAGAATGTCAAAGAAGTTATCCATAAAAATTAAAAAGCAGCAGACCACTTGTGCTGGTGAAAATGTAGCTAGTAAATGTGCTGCTAGATGCAGAGCTGTTTATGCAGAATTCTCTGTTTGCTCAAATAAATCAGGAAATATGAGTATGTTCCATTCCTTAGTTTTTATCTACTATATGCATATTCAGCTGTGGTCTGTGCATGCATGGTTCAGAGCAAAGCCATCCAGTGTCATGCAGCCACAACACACTTGCCAGATATTCTCTTGATCATTTGCTTAAAAGAGGTAAGAGGACCTTGGCCCACCCAGTTTAGCTATAAGCATGCAATGGGCTGCTTCGCACTGCTATAACCTGATCCTTGTGAACTGGCTCTCCTCCATCCCCCCACATATCCCCAAATCTGCTCTTGAAGACTAGGAACCCCTTCAGAGAACAAGAAGAAGAGGCAGAAGAAGTCTTGTTGTGCTAGCTGAGATCCACCAGCATAGCACTGGATCTGATCTCATGCCATCGTCCAGCAGCCAATGCTGATTGTACGGTATCAGTTGTCAAGTCAAAATCAGAACTAAGCAGATGATTCGAATGTAGTGGGAGAGTGCTGGATCTTCCAGATCCCGGATCTCCCTTCCCTGAACCAGTAATGTCCGTGCTATCACTGAAAACCTGACTAGGACTGCTTGCTCACAGGCACAGCTACTCAGTGCTATGTAATCTGTTCAACTGTACAAGTAGTTCTTGTTTGTCCTTGCAAAGCTAGGGATGTGTACAGAAGCCCTCTTATGTACATATGGTTCTACCTGAATTAACAATTTTTTGAAAATCACAAAGTGATTTACAATACGTAATAAACTGGAAATAAATTAAGAAAGTGCTTTTTGAAAAAGCAGGAACAATTACATAACTGCGTTATGTTTACACTCTGGCTTTATTTTTTCTTACTTAATATTGGTATACATGGAACTGAGAAAAGTAAACAGTTGATTTCCAGTTGTTGTAAACATGCTAAAGTTGTTTTTCTATTCTGTGTTTGAATGCATGTTTTTTGCTATAGCATCCAGTTAAATAACCTCAAATAACAATGTTGCTTTTACAAGGTGCATTTGGTGCATTAGTCATTTGTATATAGAACTACTGAGCTAATTAGAAAAAGAAACATCTAAAGTAATCATTAGTTACCTGAAATTATATGAGACATAATCTGTGATCGAGACTCCAAAAGTTGACTGACTGAAGTAATGGCACAATCCTGTTTGATCTTTAAAAGGATACTCTGAATCTCTCACCAGTTTTTCACCTGTCTACAAAAAGATGAATCAAACCAAACTCCAAACTATATTTATTTTTTCATTTCATTTCATTTCATTTCTATATTGCCTGCTGCTGGGTAGTTTACAACAAAATATGACAGCTGGACCTGCTTTAGACTATGTGATGAAATATCAAATAGCATAGATTTGGCAACCTTAATATTCCTCTTCTGATCACCCAAATCAGTGGAAATGGCTACTGAAAATAACACTTTTCCTTCTGTATAATTCTGGAAGTGTTCACCCTAAGTTGTTTTTGTATTTATTAGCACAGATTAAAAGGGCAACCTGGATTTTTATGAGCTTTCATTGCAAGAGTGAAGTGTGTCCATCCGTTTCTCACTATTAAACATCCTAGGAGTAGGCAGAGGAATAATTGTGTGGGACCGAAAAGGCCTCCCCCTTGGAAGTTCTGCCTAGTAGCTTTGCATCTTACTGAACTCAGGGTAGATTAACCTTCTCTACCCAATGTTTTAAGACCTTTCTCCTTTTTTAATCATGAGAACTAGGATTGTGTGTTTCTTTTTAAACAATACAAAATAGATTTGCAAATCTATTTCTAAATCTGTTTTCTAAAGTTAGGCATGTTAAGAAAACATACATTCTTTTCTTTTTTCTTTTATTGAAGGTCTATTACTTCTTTGAAGCATTTACCCAAGAGCACAGTTACAGTCACAAAAGCTGCCTTTGACATGGCAAGGTCCACATAGAAGGGTTTTGTTAATATTTCATTCAAAGAATGAAACTCTACTATGGATAGAAAAGGGATCAGGTAGCCCTAGATCTGTTCTTGCTCTCAACTTGCATTCCAGTATTGCAGGGAGTGAAAGAAGTCCTATCTGAACACCCAGTTGATGACCGGACGCTGGAGACAAATAAAAAGGTACAGCTATTGCCAAAATTGTATTGCTTGTGACCTCTGGTGAGGCATCTAGTTGGCCAACACCAGACATAACATTTCAGGCATGGCAGATCTCCGCTCAGATCGAACAGAGCAAAATTTTTAGCAATTTTTACATGTATTAACACAGACTGTAATTTGTGAGAAATTAATACCTGATTCAGCCAAATCAAAGCTTGAACAGTTGAGCCACCATGGCAACCATAATTATTGTAAGAACAGTCAATGACTTGTTGAACACTGAGTTCTTCCAAAACTTTCTTTTTAATTGCATAGACAGACTCTATTCCACTGACAACACTGAAAGCCCAACAGCCACCACACTAGAAAGGAAAAGCACAACAAAAACCATCATCAGCACCACCACCACCCATTACTGTCATTATGCTCCTGTTTTGCTCTTTTAATAAAGTATTTTAATACAGCACACATGACACACACACATTTTTAGTTCTGAATAGGGCTATGGGAACAGTTTATAAATGCAAAAATAAACAAACTAATCCTGTGTTCATTTTTCCAAAGCAGCTATTTACTGCGACTACACAGACACTGATACCGTCTTAATCTAAAATGTATAGTTCTTTGCAAGTCATGAAAAAGACAGTCTGCATAAACCTGAGAAACTGCACTACAAATATATGGTTTATTAGAATACTGCCGTGACTTCACTGAAGACACATGCTTGTCTAGAAAGGACACTGAAGTCCTCATTTTATTATCTGAAGACTGCCACATAGTTGAGGGGGAAATACCTGAACAAATTCTAGATTTGTTCTAGATTTGAGCTAAATGAAACACAGAACTTACCGTTTCTTGATTTCTCACTTGTGTGACGACATTATGGTCTCTCCAATCAAACTTTGCTGGTAAGGGTGTCTCTGTTCCATTTAGTCTAACTCCTGGTGTATATTTGGGAACTTTAAAAGGTCTACTTTGCAAGTAAATTGCTTTAAAATAAAACAAATGATTTATCATCTTCTTGTTTTGACACTTCTATAACTAGTTCAGATACTTTGTTTCTAAACAGAAGACGGTTGTCTCCTTTCTATTCAGCTAATGCAGTTCCAGTTCCATCAAGTCACTAAATGTTGTGCACTTTTATCTCAATAGCTGGTTGACAAATGAGTTTTATGTTATGTTAAAACATAACATTTGGGGTGGAAAAAAGCTGGGAAGAAGTCCCCCCCACCCCGCTAACCTCACCCCATCTCCCTTCCAGTAACAGGTTGTTAACTGTGCTTCAGTCTTGGTATCTTTAAACCACAGTTTGCCATTGCATCTAAAATGGGGAAGTGTACTTCAATTTCATTTACTAATCAAGATCTTAGGGAACAAACTGTGATTTGCAGCATAACCCTATATATTTGTACTGAGGCACAATATCTATTGAGTTCAACGGAGATTAATTTCCAGGTTAATAAACTGACATTAGCCAAGTTCTCTGTTTCAGACATAAAGAGCAAATGATAGAAAACTTGCTAGCAGACATGAAACTAGCTAATGATAGGAAGAATTGAGAGAAAGTTGATTGGGCCTGATACTTGTTCTTAACTCAATAAACAGAACCAGGAATGGGCTTAGAGTTTAACCAAACCATTGTTTAGTAACTTGTCCCGCAGAACAGTTGGTACAATTTGGTACAACTCTTTATGTTCTAGCAACCATAAAGAGTTGTACCAAATGGTTGGCTTGCATTAGGAATTGTGTTCTTTCTTAGTAATTACATTAATAGCCCCTTTTACATAGCAACACTTTATCAATTCATACTGTTTGCTTGCCATGCTAACTGACCCCAGGCTGCATTCTTCTGATACAGGAATTAATTTATTAGTAATATTTAAGCTTGACCTATCTTTTTTCTGTGCAAGAGCTTGGTTTGCATAATTCTTGGATCTGAATTATATCACATACGAGAATGCTGGAGAAAATGATGGTATATAATGCTGTCATGATTACATCCATAATGAAATATGTTGGCAGTTTATGATCTAAAGTATTTGAACTTTAGGGAGACTATTGAATTGCTGCAACAACAACAATAACAACAACAACAACAACAACAATAATTATTATTATTTCTGTACCTTTAAATTCATCAGGGTACAAGTGGGAAAACTGATTTATTCCATAGAAAGCAGTAATGTTGTCATTGGAGGATAATAAATTCAAATGCATAATTCTCTTAAAGCTTTTCTGAAAATAATAATAATAATAATAAAGAACTACACTCCTGAAATGTAGCTGTATCTGTCTACATGTTTGCCAAATACACTTACTTGACTGAGGCCTATTAAAAAACATGGATGCTACTTGTGTTGTTTTGCAGTTCTTGCCTTGGGAACAAAAATAAGTGTAGTGGCAGCTTTTCATCATTTATCAGCTTTAGAGGAATCTACATTCAGAAATGCATTTCGAATTTGAATTCGGTCTATTTTCCTGCACTCAAATGTATATTCTACTTCAAAACCCACTTTTTCGACATGGCATGTTCATCTCAATTGTAAGCAAGTACACCTAACTGCACCAACCATATCCCTCCTTCTTGACTTATCTCTCTCCTTCCCATCCTTGTGTTGCTTTCTTAACTGTTTGTTTCAAATTGTAGGCTGTCTGGCAACAGAAACTATCTATTTATATATCTATTATTCATTGTATGCTTAAATGGCCCAATAATGTGAGGTCTCTGAGTATGATACATTAAAACATACAGTATAAACATTAAAACAAAAATTAAAACAGAACAGAATAAGACCTAGGTAAAACCAGAAACCGATACAAACAATCAAACTATCACAACATCAAACTATGATGTTTAGCAATATTTAGTAGTAGAAACAGTAAAAACACTTCCTCAAATACTTGGCAGAATAAAATGTGTCTACACCTAGCCCTTGAAAGATCACAGTGCAGACACCAGACTGGCATCTCTGGAAACAGCATTCCACACCTTTGGTGCTACCACAGTAAAGTCCCTATCCTTAGTAGCTATTCCAGTACCTGAATGCCAGCACTAAAAAGGCTATCTCATCCCTTCATTTGGTGGGAGCAACTGGCAGAAAGGATTATTTGGACCCAATGGCTTTCTTGGCTCCTTTCCAATTGTGTTCTTTCTTAATGACTGGGGAAATACATATGCATGAGGCTAATCAGAAGGCATTGCATTGCAATTCCTATCTTTTCAAAAGAGATTTTTTAAAGGATTTTAGAGTAAGATTATCCTGTCTGGAGGCACCATAAAATTCCAGGGATGAAGCATGGCAAAGATGCTACAAAACTGAGAGCACTCATTGTAAGGGCCCTTCATCAAATTCCGCCAATGAAGCAGAGACAAGTCTCATCTGAAAGCCTCCAGATGACATCGCCCAGGACGACTCTATGAACTGCCATGTCCATGGGTAATCCTATCTAGGCAAGATATACCTATTTCGCTCACAAACCTATACCTATCTGGACAGAAAGGAGAAGTCCTACAACTCCCAGCATCCTTCAGCCAGTACGCCGCGGAATGATGGGAGTAGTAGGGCTTAATTCCTTTCAAACGCGCTTAGGGTTGAGCGCTCCAAAGGAGCTCCAGAGGGGGCTGCGGGAGCGGGGTCCCGACACCAGCCCGAGTGCCCCGGGAGGCCGCGCCAGGCCCGGGCGCCTTTCCTGCCAGGTGGGCGCCTTCGCCTCCTGTGGCGCGCCCCCTCCTACCTACCCGCAAGGCGTCTTCGCGCTCCCTCGCGCTGCCCGCGGCACTGGGGCCAGGGAAGGGGAGCTCCGGGCTGCCTCCGGCGCCCTTTTCCGCCGCGGCAGGCTCGGCACAGGCGCCATCCGCGAGAGAGCGGAGCAAGCACGAGAGGAGCCACCGCCAGAGCTTCATGGCGAGCCGGCCAGAGAATCCCTCTCGCCTCTTCCTGCGCCTGCCGCGTCTTGGGCACTCGTCCGGCGAAGGGTTTCCCTTTCGCTTTGGTGGCCCCTCCTCTCGTCCTCGTCCTCGGCCGCGAGCGGCAGGCGGCCAAGCCCCGGGAGACAGTCGGCCCTCAAGCGGCTGTCGGCTGGACTGGAGCAGCTGCACGATCCGCAGCGACTCCCGACTCCGCAGGCTCCCCTTGGAAGCAGTTGGGCGGCTTGGAGGGGACCAGGCGCGGGCGGCGGGATGGGAGCGGAGCAGTGCTAGGTGCAGGAATATTTGCACGTGCTGATTTACATTTGTCCTGAAATATCTTTGTGTGCGTGTCCTTAACCCTGCTTTCTCTCAGGTCACCTGTTTGTAAAAAGGGATGTACGGACAGGACAGAGAAAGGTATTTGACTTCAGGAAGAAAACTTAAGAAAGATTCAAGGGGGGCAGAAGGAGGTGAAGCGCATGTGCACCAAAAGCTAGCTAATGCAGGGGGATCCAACGCGATAGAGATCGTCAGTGTCCCTGTGCCTTTATTTCAGCAAGTGGCCTTCCAGAGATTTGGGGCTTCAACCCTGGTGGTCCGCCCTTTAACACTCCTGAATGTGAGGGCTCCAAGTATCTGTCTCTAGGCTGCTGACATTGTTCAACTGGGCACTTCAAAAAGTGAACATCGATAGCTTCAGTATAGCAGGTTTGCTATAATTCACGATTTTTGTTCTTGTTTTTGCAATTTGAAATTCTCTTGCTCAAAACAAAAACAACCCCCCCCCCCCAGCCATGAGTAAGGCAGGAAAACATGGGAATGTCTCTGGAGGACGACAACAATGTGAATAGGCCACACAAGCGTCTGTGCACGAGAGAGCTGTGCCGGGAAGGTTAAACCAGAAAAGTTGCAATGTTGTTGGATTCTGAGAAGGAGGGCAGGATGCTCTGAACTTTTTCCTCCTTCAGGCTGTGTTGAATATTGGTAATGCTGGTAATGACAGTATCTTTTAAAATAACATCCAGGTTCTATCTGATGCACACATATTAATTGCTATGTGCTGTAGTAATTCCTATAGGGTTTGTTTCCCTTATAAACACTTCACAATGCCTATTTGATATAGCACCATGGCTGTGCAGGATATTTTGCAGAGTGGGAGCTGGCAGGTCCTTGCCCCAAGGAAATTACCGTCTAATATTGTAGGGATTCTGTGTTGGGGGTACTGTCTTGCTGTACTTCCAGTCCTATTTCTCCACCATTTGCAGAAGGTTGTTCTTGGGGAATCTTGTTCAGTCCCATGAGTTGTCTAGGATAGAATTCCTCAGGTGTCTACTCTTTCCCCTAGCTATTTAAAACACAGCACCAAAGTGCTACTTAACACATATATGAAACCTCTGAGTAGGGTCATCTGGAATGTGTTGCCATCAGTGTGCTACTGACACACAGCCCTCTTTCTCCTTTTCATCTTCATCCGATGAGGCTGTGCGTGTGCTAAACCAGTGCCTGCTCCTGCTCCTTTTGTTGAATGGGCCCCTGGAGCCACTGGACTTATGTCCCAAAGCTGTGTCCTGGCAGCATTGCTTCCAGCTTTCAAATAATTTAAGATATCAATTTAGAAAATAGCCAAATACCTAAGTAATTATTTCATCTCCCACTTTAGCTATTTTGGTGAAAGTTAAATATACGCAGATCAGAGGGGAAAAGGGGTTTCTGTGGATGAAAGAACACAGAATAGCCTGCTCAGCTTTTTATGTTACAGTAGCTACATCAGTTTCCCTTTTTGCTTGGGGAGCTTTAGCCTGGGCTTGTGATCGCCCAGGCTGGCAGCTTCATACATTTGCTGCTGTCCAGTACAGAGCTAACTTCAAGTAGGCTTACGGCATCCTTTATTCTGTGTTGAATTGTGGTGGCTGTTATCTTTACTCAGAAACCCATTTCCAGAAACAAAATGCAGATATACAACATTATTTCTCAATGCCCCATGTGTCTAAATATTTGTGGGCGTAATACTTGGAAGTGGTAATATCAGACTTGTTAGGAGTTTCCTGTAACTTGACATACTTGATTGATGTAGATCTGCTAATGACACATCAACCAATAAAAGGATCAGCTGCAATTGCAAGTTACTGGTAACTGATATAGTCATCCCAGTGGGTTGTATATTCATTTTAGTTCTTATCCATGTATTCCTCTTTTAGTGAGCAAAGATAGCCCTCACTGAAGAAATTGCTCACCTCTAATTATTTACCAAAAGAGTAGATCCCCTTATTTCATAAAAATGTTAATCTCTCTGTGTATGTGTGTGCTGTTCAGACAAAGAAATTTCATCTGATTCCCAGATTCCTTATGGGTTTGAAGTTATATAGTAGAAATTTAACTATGCAAAGACTTTAAAATTTAATAAGTAAAAATAGTTATTCTGCTAGACACATGGGGGCAGCAATGTACCTTGAAACAAGCAAGCTGTTCTTAAACAAACAACAGCAGAAAAATACATGGATTCCAGGCTAAACCACATTGAATAGAAGATCTAGAGTGAAGTCAGTCTTTTTCTGGGGTCAAGGTGGTCTAAGGATGAACTATATAGCTGTATCAAAATTATTTTACTTGTGGGAACAGAGTAATAGCATGAGGAATAAAGGTTGTACTGGCCTTGGTATAATGGAAGATAATACAATAGCTTCTGAGAAATACAAACAAATATAATACAAACTGAGAAAATTAGGCCTTTCATACTGTACTTCATAGAACTGATATGGAGTCTTACCTTACTTTCTTGGGAAAAAATATATTAACGTTGCTCACAGGAGTGAACTATTCAGATAGGAATGTAATATATATTTCATTTACTCTGATATATTAAATCTACAATAATAAATGCGATTGTAGATTTGTTCATTTGTTTGTGAATTTCTTCAGGCCAATAAATGTTTGTATAATCCAAATCTACTAACACTGGTTGACTAAGGTATTAATGCCACTGCATGCAAACCAGGGGCTTGACAATTTCACTGGAGGACTTTGCTGGGTGGCAGTGAATATATCGTGTACAGTGCATGGTTACAAACTGAATATTCCAGATATATGTAACTATATGATACTGCCAGTGATACAGGCAATTACATAAATCTTAGGTGTAGTTGCCCACTCTGTAACCTTGTGCCTTTGTCTTGCTCTGTGTAGTGACATTTTCATATGACTGTTTCACATGGTATTTCAATCCATGCAAACCATAGGATTGTTGTCAACCTGTCAGCTGGAAATGGCTGACACACTTTTGCCCATACTGATTTGATAGGGTGAGTTCTAAATAGCTTAGTTTTTGACATCTGACTGCAACTTGAAAAATTCTTACTGGTTGCCAAAGCACATCTGTAATGACTTCAGTATAGCCACATGGCTGGAAGTTTGACCAGGCTAGCTGGAAACTCTTGAGGTCACAAGCCAAAATGAATCAGCTACTAATAGGCCTTACATTGCTTGGGACTGGGTGCCAGTTTCAAAATGAATACTTCCTCCAGTGTGTTTTGACCAAAATAGGAACATGTTCACTTTGAACTGGAGAAGTTAAAAATCTCCAGATTTATTGGGTTCCACACTTTCTTTAGGTACTGGGGAGTACATTAAAAACAATATTTCTATTATGCATAGTTTGAAGGCAAAATTGAAATGTCTTGAGGCATTTTTTCTATTTAATTTATGAGTTTTGATTTTGGAAAAGGCAAAAAGGAAATATGGCTGGGTCCCTTGTGGCCATCAAGCTTACATGACGTAGTTACCAACATATGATTAGGACTAACATGTCCTTGTTTTAAATAGGTTAGTAGTTAAGGAAGCCACTGGAGAGATGAGAATATTTTCCAAATCCTATAGAAAGTTCCTTTATGCTGATGTACAACAGCTAACCTCCATTACTCATTGTTCAGCTCAAGGACTTCTATTACCCCCTTTCTCCCTCCCTCCCTCCCTCTCATATTTGTAAGAACCAAAAGCAACAGTTTCAGTTAGAAACATTACAGAACTAAAATAGAAAATAAGTTAACTAAAGCAAGACTTTTGAAGAGGAGTTTCATGCATATCCACCCACTGCCTCCTGCCAAAAAAGACAAATGGGCAAAATGCCTGGTGGGACGTTTTCAGCTCCTTATTTCTATGGTTCAGTTACTGTGCTTTCAATTGAATCCCATTTTTATTTGGAACAATTAATTATTCAGCCATGTATTCTGAATATTAACAGGAGAAGTTAATAAAATTGCATCTATAAAGAGCTCAGAGTTACCACGTGAATTAAAAATCTGAAGTCAAAATAAAAAACACTTCAACAATACAAAAACAAAGCCTGCCACAAGACTTAGGTATTTCCTTCAAGGAGCAGAACACAACCTTTTCAGAACTACTTGAAGTTAGGATGCATTAGGATGTTATTCAGTAAAGTGAACAAACTAGATCCACATGTATTTATAGGTGTTTTCTGGGTATAGTAGCATGACAAATAATTTTGGGATAATCATTTAGCATGTTGTATAGTTGCATGTTAACTATATTGCCACAATAAGACAAAATGTTGCATTGCCATAATTATTTTGTGGAGTAAAACTTTGTTTTTCTTTGTTAGAAAAAGAAATGTA